TAGATGTATGGTGGTGTAGTGGTTCATTTACTTGGCTTTCAATCAGGAGGTTGAAAGTTTGAATCTCAGCTCGACACTAACGTCTCTTGGCAAGACATTATTCCACATTATTTTGCAAGATCGGTACCAAATCGCTCAAAAAAAAAAATTGAAATTATTTTTACTACAATCATATACACCTCATTGAATTATATGCCGTTGTTGCTTTTGCTTGATACAAGATCATTCTCCGCTCGCTGACTCAAGATGTAATTTGATATATTATATTGTTCCTTCTCATGCTTATTTCCTTTCTAACGCGCATTTCTCTTTCCTTATCTTCTTCTCAACCCCACATGCAGCTCATCATTTAGTATTATTTTCTGTACCCTCGATCTCTCACTTCTTTTTGTCATTGTCTACTCTTTGTATTATGACCGTGTTCTTCTATCTTAGTCGTGTAAAGTATTGTCTTGTCCCTTTCTCGTCTCTGTTGGCATCCCCCTTTTTCTTTCCCCTATTTTGTAGTTCCTTTTGTAGTTACAGATTAGTTAATTTAATTACTCATTACTCATGTTTCATTTGAGGTTCACAATTGTACAAGCATTGCTTTTTCGTGGACCCCTCTGTTTCCAAAATGTATTTCTTAAATTTGTTTTAAATGCTTATAATTGATTTGTAATGTTTTGTTGGAAACATGAATAAATTTGAATTTGAAATTGAAATTGAAATAATTATTTGGCTGCTCAGCTACGACCGGCTGAATTGTTGGAATGTCAGGAGTGTCACTATTATTATCATTAGTATTAATATATTATTCTCATCTACAGATCAACGGGATTGGTGGAACAGGTTTCGCCTTTGGTAACTTTGCCACAATCATGGCTATCTCTATGGACCGTTACCTGACTGTTGTCTGGTCCAACCGCTTCCCTCCTTCAAAGCGTCGCATCATCATCTTTATCATTCTATCCTGGACGTTTCCCATTGCCAACACCATTCCTCCTTCCTTCGAGTTAATCTCTGATTTCAAGTATCATCCTCTTACTCATCACTGTACACCGGTCTGGGAGGTTTGTCTCTATTATAGCATCTGTAACATCATTGTCTTTGGTATCACCGTTCCAGTAATGGTCTTCTGTTATATCGGTGTCTTCTGGACACTGAGGCGACAACAGCAGGTGCTTCGATCTTACACCGACGAGAATGTCGACGATAGTGAACAATCCAAGTATGTCAACAATCCAAGTATATCATTGGATAACCTTTCAGGCCAGGGAGGTAATGTTTCTGAGACCATGGAAGAGTTCTCATCGTCAAACTTGGATGACCATGTAGTACATGGGTCGGAGAAAGGCAAAAACAATCAGCAAGAGACGGTGAAGAAGAAGAAGCAGACCGCGAAGCGCAGATCCCTGCAAAACAAACTCACCACTGACAAAAGAATCGCGTTGACAGGTAATTGGTTCTGATGTCTCTCACTTCATCCTTTCCCTTCTTTTGTTCTCACTCCCGGGGATGTTGCTATATAGCGGGGAGGGGATGGGTGGGTTGTAATACCCCGATTAAATCGAAATTTGTATTGCCTATTAGCAAATTGCAAAAAATTATCGTAGAAAAAAGAATTTGGAATGTAATGGTCATATAACTGGTACGAAACCTCCATTACAGATAATCTAGAATTTTAAAATATATTTCAATAATGAGTATAACATGTAATCCCCCCCCCTCCCCCAATCGCTATCACACTCCCATCAGTCAAACAAAATCTGCAACATAACATTGTGTACGCAAATTAATACAAACCTATAAAAACCTCGCTACTGCTTTTAATCAATCAAATCAATTATTTTAATTCTCTTTTCCCCTCCAGGAACCCTGTTGGTGATGACTACCGTGATATGTTGGGCACCTTATTCCATCGTACATGCCTGCTTCATACCTATCCACGCGACTCATTCACTGGGTGTGTTTTCTATGTGGCTTGGTTATACCAACGCTCTGCTTGATCCCATCATCTATTCTTTCATGAATAGACGAGTTAGAGCTCGATACCGTGCGATGATGACGAGCTTGAGAATGTATATATATGTAAGACTTAACGAGCTAATAGCTGTGTTCACACAAGATTGTCGCTACTAACGATGACGAGCGTTCACACGGAACAGAAACGACGATTATTCAAAGTTTTAAACTACAAACTGGGGAAGCATCTTTTTTAACTAAGCGTCCGCGCGGCCGTTTAAGTGAGGACCCACCCCCCCCCCCTGCTTCTGGCTGTTGCACTAATAAGAAGATCGCTTTTGGTTGATAACTGCGAGTAAACTTCATGTTTCATAATCACGAGTAAACACTGTCTCTAAGTACAAGATAACTTCGAGGTTTTTAACCACTACCCAAAGTTAAAGTTTACTGAATGCCATGTGAACCTCACAATCTGAGGATTTCATGTCATTTTGTCCTATGTGAATCTAGTCCATTCTCTCTTAAATCTGTCCCCAATACTTAATAAAACAACATTCTAAATATATTTGCCACCATAACCATGGACCTAGGTCCATGCCATAACCATCTTTCAGTCGACCCAAACCACTTCTCTCTATCTTTAATAACTTACTGGCCTCTTCCATTACTGTTTTCTGCTCTTATCACTGTTACAGTGGGAAATTAAACAGGAATAATTATGTATTCTGGCTTGTCAGACAGAAATTCGCAAGGCCATTAGGCAATTGCCTGAGTAATATGCCAATTAGGTTAATTATGCTAGTAAGGCTAATTATTTTTCGTTTAACGTGATTAACCTCTGAGATAAATATGGGTTGTCATAAAAAAAAAAAATTAAAAATCACATTAAAATTGTGATTCCAATTTTTTCTGGATAAAACTAGACCTAAGTATATCAATAAATGCAAATATGCAAATTTACTAATTATGTTAACTAGGCTAATTGTACTACGTCTACATGGAATATCTTCTCATGAATTAATGTGTTGTCTTTAAAAAGTGATTTACAATGTTGCATTGCACCATTTTCAGGCTATTTAGATCATAAGAAAGAATTCCATATATTGTACACATTCTAATTAGCTTATTATGCTAATTATGTTATTTAAGACAATTGCGTTACTTAAAAATAAGAACCGGTGTCATAAATGAATTCCTCGTCATAAAAAGCCCTTGAATCCCCGGATTAAGATTAGCAACACATTACATATTGCATATTGTCTTATAAAGAAAATTGCCCAAGGTTGCCAAGATGGCAACCAAGGCTCGATTAGCACAATCCCGGCCCCCCCACTCAGAGGTCGGAATGACCGCATGCGTGTTGCCAAAATGTCCGGTAAAGGGGTACTTTTCGTGCGACAAAGTCCGGCCCGAGATTTGTAAAAAAAGGGGTGTATTTGACTTTTCACCCGGAGATTTCTTTAAAAAGGGGGTGTTTTTCTTTTTTTCTCTCATCTCTTTGGAATCCTGAGAAATTATTCCGAATTTAGGGGGGTACATTGAGCATTTTTTCTGATTTAGGGGGGTCTCCAAGGCAGGAAAAGCCCGCAAAAAGCCCGCGAAAGGGGGGTTCGGAAATGTTGGCAGTCCTCAGATAGGGGGTGCTTTCAAAAAGAGGGTACGAGCATATGCGTACCCTAAATAACACTGAGTGGGGGGGCCGGGAGCACAATGTGCTATTTAGGACTCTATTTTACCATCAATCACAAACTCATTGTAAATAGGAATACAAAACCCTTCTTGTGTCAAGAAATTTACTTACTTTGTATAATAGAACTTTTAATTTGTGAATAATAGTAACAAATTTACAATCCTAAAACCTGCAATTTGACACTTTTCCGATTACTTCCGGCTCACGAAAATAAAAAAAGTAAATTTGTTCAAGTACAGTTCTTTCTCATGTTATATGTCAGATTAGTGCCCACACATGCCCAGTCGAGTAATTTTGATTAATATTTCAGGAAATTTTGCTCCATTTCCTTTCGCTAGCCTCCTGTAAAGGTAAGCACTGTGTACGGCTCGTATTATCAGACGAGTGGTAGCGAAAAATAATTATCATTACAAAAGCATATTTCCCCTTAAAAGTGGCCCGTTAGTTTGCAGCTAGGCGGGAATCATTTTGTCAACGTATCTGGCGGCATCGAAGATATTACAAAGGAAATGAGCAAGATATGACTCCATCTCTTAAAACTCCTTGGTATAACTATTTGGTTTTTATTGTATATCGCTGTAGAACATGTATTTTAATTCATGTCATGTTTATATTTATGTTATATTGACATTGTCATCGTACATTTATATATCTTATGTTTCAATGGTTTCAATGATAGTAAATAAATAAATTCAATTCAATTCAATCTGTGCCTTTTTTCTAGTTTAATTTTTTTCTCGAGTTTTTAAAGATATGGTTATTAGATAACGTTTTGTACAACTGTGTTGTAAAATATTGTAGATTTTCAAAAAGGATGTTTACATTTGATCTTGGTAAATAAATTTAGTTTAAATGTAAAAATTGGTATTTGACCACGGAGCAATTTAATATTGTAGGAAAAATAATATCGAGACGATCACTACTAGTATACAGCTGCTGCTATAGACACAACATTTTTATTGGGGGTTGGAAGACACACCTAAACGCAGAAAGGAATATTGTGATAGCACTATCAGTATCAGTATCAGTATCTGTTACATAAAGGAAATGAAAAGGGTAATATTATAGAAGCATTATTGTGACCACCTTAGTGTATTGCATCCAGCATTAATATATATTAATCTCGGTCAATGAGATCCGACCAAAGGGGTCTGGCTCTGCTTTAATGCTCTGCATTGACGGATAAACAAGCGCCAACTGCGTCCATTTTCTGTCATTACTATTTACTTTGTAAATCTACATGTATGCTAACTTTGTTTAAGAGTATCAATAGTTAGCATGATTACTACTTGTCTACATAAGTAAGATCAAAGCCGGTCATCTTCTCATTTCTTCCTACCACACGTTTATTTTCATAACCATCATCATGGTCGATACTATGATCAATGATCACGACATGACGTCCGATATACTTACCTCCCCTACTCCATACGATCGGTTTATTGGTCTGAGGATCGACCACCAGCCGACATCGGGTGTAGCCATCATCGAGGGTTTCACGTTGGTCGTCATCTTCCTCGGAGCGTTGACCGTTAATCTTATCGCGTTGGTGACGACCCTTCGAGATGAAATGTTGAGAAGGAATGTTCATAACTGGCTGATCATCAACCTGATCGTAAACGATCTCGGTATTACGATCACCAGTATGTCATTCTCTATCGTATCTGTGTTCGACCAAGGTTACTTTCTCGTTCACAACGATGCTATGTGTTTGGTGAGTATTAATCTTTTAAGAAATACTTTCTTTTTACGTTATTAATAATATAATTGTTTTTTAAAGTTTGCTTTTGAATATATTTTATTTTAAGGCTACAAATGGCTCTCCATCATGTTTAAGTCCAACTAAGAGTTAAGTTTGACTTGGGATCTTTGTGAAACACCCCCAGGTCAGACTTTGTCACTTTACCTGCTTACGTGTATATATGAGTAGGGGACTAACTTGCACCAGTCACAACTGAGTGGGCCCCGAATTCTAACCCCCCCCCCCCTTTACTGTGTGATTGATTGTATACGTGGATGTGTGTGGTCATTTATCATTATTTACTAATTCGCAGGCTCAAACGGAAATAAATACTTTCCTATTTAACCTGCCGTGTGTTAGAACTATGTAAAGTGCGGGTTCATAGAAAATCACAAATATGGCAAATAGCGTATTACTAGAAACTGGTAAGCTAACAGATGGTCATCGTGCAAGTTTTAGGTCAACTACATATCGGGTGATTTGTAAAAATACGAATAAAACAACCTCCATAGCATCTGGGATATGCGAGAGATTCGCGGGAAAAATAACGATGTTTTAATGCCGTCACAATATGAACCAACCCTGCCCAAACAGACGACATCCCATAAAGAATGAACAAAATTGCAATGCAATATCGGGGGGGGGGGGGGGGGACGTCTCTAATTATTCAGTACATTTGGGCGCATTTAGGGCTGATTTTGCCATATTTTGGGGCGGCCGGGGGGGGGGGCACGTACTCCCTGTGCCCCACCCCCCCCCCCCCACCTGGATCCGTCCCCGCTCATAATTTAAAAAAACAAATCGAACTTATGAATCATGTCTGTGATGTCCAATTTATTACAAAAGTAAATACGTGTCGAACATTGACACCGTAAAGTAACGCAAGACAACATCAATACATTAACAACGTATTGAAAAACGTAAAATTCACGTCTATCAACCTCCACTACATTGACAGAACTAAACCATAACCTCCTCTAAACTCACCCATCCCTGTGTTACAAAAGTATTTATTTGTTTATTTTTTAAACGGCGTCTAGCTCGCTCATCGTCGAATAAGGTCAATGGCGTCTCCCGCCACGTACTCAACGTATAAAATTCCTGTGAGCGCTCAGGCATGAGCGCCTCCTCATTTACATAAATTCCAACCCACTTTAGGTACCAATCGGAAATAGTATTGGTGACGTATCAGTTTTGTACAATGTAAGTGTAACCTTAGAATATTTGTCTTACTTGTCATTTATGTACACAGTTCAGGCGCGTACGCAGGGAGGGGGTCGGGTACGTTGGGGGCTAAACCAAAAAAAAAATGTCCTCCTACCCCAACCCCCCCCCCCCCCGCGCTTATTCAGTGGCTGGCTGAGTCGTTGCAAATTTTCGGCCGGTTTTAAAAAATTTAACCCCCCCCCCCCCTTGAAAAAATCCTACGTACGCCACTGACAAAGTTTGATTATGATAATGTACTGAGGAAACTTTTCAACCCGCAAGCTTCTCCTTTTTGATACTTTCCCCTTTTCCCCCCATCATATGGAAACGTTGTATCATCCGCTCAATCTGACTTGCGTGCATAGAACAAATAAGCATTTTTCCATGAAAAAGTGAAGTTTTCTAAAATGTGCGTTTCTTTCCAGCATTGGGGCGCCCGGAAGTCACTCGGGTAACATTTCATAAAGTATAATATAAAAAGACCATATGCAAATGTTCTGTACTTTCGTCGGAAAAAATACATTTATCCAGCACAATGTCGTCTCTTTTTGCGTTGAAGAATAACAAATAGCGAGTTTCAATCACACTTTGGCCGCTCTCGCAAGCTCTCACTCGTTTCACTGTGGTCAAGCGACTTTGGGGCAAGCGGTTAATGAAAATACTAATCGTTAGCTTTCTTCTGGTATTAAACTTGTTTTGATTGATTATATAATTATGTCGGAATAAAGGAAACAAAAAGGCTCGACCAATAACTTATCAGCGTCTGAATTGACCTTTTGACCTTGAATTCCCTGATGCAAGCGCACTAATTAGGTCATCTCGGGGGTCATCTTCGCTAAATCGGTGTCTTTTATCGTAAAATGCGACACTTTCACAATGTTTATACATCTTTTTTAATTATTAGTAAGATATAACATATTTTTTCTGATATCACTGAAGTTTTGGGTTTTATTTAATGAGTAATTTTAAAATAAGAGCCATTTTACTGTTTTAATTTACTGGATCGTACCATTAAAGTCGCAGGGTAGAAAGATGCATTTCCAACCGCGCCAAATTTAATTTACGTTCCGATATTCTGTTAAATGGGTTCGTGTTGTTAAGAATCGACTGCTTTCTGCTCTAACAAATGTTCAAATGCGGAGTCGTTTATCAACTAAATTATTCAAATTGATGGATGCTTCCTAGCTTCCCAGGTGTTTGTGTTGCTGTTGAAGCATTTTATTCACCTGCTATCATTCTTTGTACTCCAATTGCCAGAACGCAAATTTCATTTTGGTTTTATAGTTTCACCGGAGTCGTTTATCAACTATATGTATTCAAATTTATGAATGCTTCCTCCCCAGGTGTTTGTGATGTTTAATGCATTTCATTCACCTGTTATTATTCTTTGTACTCCAATTGTTAGAATACAAAATGCATTTTGGTTTTATAGTTTCATGCAATAAGTAAGTCAATAAAAGAGTATGTTCTGCACAATAAATTTGTATAAAATTGTACAATGTGATGTGTCCCCTCATTTTGTAATAGTTAATTTACCCATTCACATAATGGAACTACCTGCCCGATGAAGCCAGTGGCCTGTGACCCCTGAGCACTCAACACCGCGTGGGAGTCAGTTTGTGGTCAAATTCTTTTATGAGACAAATACAAGCAAACGTTTCCATATGATCTATTATGTTACTGTACATGAATTGTATTTGTAATCATATTAGATGTAAACAATTTAAGGATTCGGATAAATAAAACAATTTAATTTAATATAAATCCCCAACTAATTAACGAATTTTTATTCTTTATAAAATCACACATTTAGGTTTGATTTCGATTTCGATTCCGGTGTTTTTTTTTCTTTTGTTGTGATTTCGATGTTATTTCTATTAGTTTCTTCTTCTTCTTTGCAATGACTAATTTTGATTGATTTATTTGCATAAGTCTTTACATCAAATGCAGATCACTAATGTTTATCTCTGTTTATATTTTCCGCCCGGTTCAACTTTTTCGACAAGCGGAAGCACATATCGCTTTCACACGTGTTTCTTTTAGCCACCATTAACAGTCATTCTAGAAAGAAAAAGAATTCTCAGAGAAAATGAACAAATTTAGCCACATCAGTTTGACAAAGAGAGAACTGCGTTTATGAAACCACATGACTCAGTTTAATGTATTCTTTGTGTACATGGTAAATGACAAAGATTTGGACATAAAATAATACACACTTATTTACTGCTCCCCAATTTCCTTTTCGATAAGTTTATGCTTTTTCATGTCAAATTCTATATACCACCAATGACCAATATTCCCACAAGTAAAGTTCATTTTTCGTCTTTTTCCCCCGTTAATTTCATATGAGCTGGATTTTTGAACTCGTTTGTATTGACTTTTCAAATAATATTAACGTTATGAATGTTATAATTATGAGATCACTAAGTTTATGCGAATTTCAAATTGGCAGTTTGGTCAGTAGATCATGACGCGGTCGCGTCGTGTACAAAATATCATTAATTTCTGTTTTTTTCCTAAAGTGTGTTAAAGATGCTTTAAAGAGAAAAAAACAACTATACAGAGTCGTGCATTTTTTTTTAAATATGCTTTTCAGGGAACATTTTTTATTTGATGTTCTTCCACACTTGCATAATATGAATGAAAACGCTCACAAAATATTTTCACCTCTCCCCAGAACTCAACCTTCTCTTTAATGTCAAGTCCTGATATTATTCTCATCTATACAGATCAACGGGATTGGTGGAACAGGTTTCGCCTTTGGTAACTTTGCCACAATCATGGTTATCTCTTTGGACCGTTACCTGACCGTTGTTTGGTCCAACCGCTTCCCTCCTTCAAAGACTCGCACCATCATCTTTATCATTCTTTCCTGGGTGTTACCCATTGCCAACATCATTCCTCCTTCCTTCGAGTTAATTTCTGATTTCAAGTATCACCCTCTTACTCATCATTGTACACCGGTCTGGGAGGTTTGTCTCTACTACATCATCTGTAACATCATCCTCTTTGGTATCACCGTTCCTGTAATGGTCTTCTGTTATATCGGTGTCTTCTGGACACTGAGGCGCCAACAGCAGGTGCTTCGATCTTACGCCGACGAGAATGTCGACGACAGCGAGAAATGCAATGACAGCCATCAGGTGAACAATCCAAGTATGTCATTGGATAACCTTTCAGGCCAGGGAGGTAATGTTTCTGAGACCATGGAAGAGTTCTCATCGTCAAACCTAGATGACCCTGTAGTACATGGGTCGGAGAAAGGCAACACCAATCGGCAAGAGAGGGTGAAGAAGAAGAAGCAGAAGAAGCAGACCACCGAGCGCAGATCCCTGCAAAACAAACTCACCACTGACAAAAGAATCGCGTTGACAGGTAATTCTTGGTGCTGATGTCTCTCACTTATTCCTTTCCCTTTTTTTGTTCTCACTCCCGGTGATGTCGCTATAGAGCGGGGAGGGGTGGGGTGGGTTGTAATACCCCCGATTAAAACGGAATTTGTATTGCCTATTAGCAAATCGCAAAAAAATTATCGTAGAAAAATAAATTGGAATGTAATGGTCATATAAGTGGTACGAAACCTCCATTAAAGATAATCTGGATTTTAAAATATATTTCAATCATGAGTATAACATGTAGCCCCCCCCCCCCCCCAATCGCTCTCACACTCCCATTAGTCAAACAAAATCTGCAACATAACATTGTAAGGCAAAGGCAAATTAATACAAACCTATATTCATATGAACTTCACTTTTGCTTTTAATCAATCAAATCAATTAATTTCGTTCTCTTTTTTCTTCCAGGTATCCTGTTGGTGATGACTACCGTCATCTGTTGGGCACCTTACTGCATCGTACATTCCTGCTTCATAAATATTCATGTAACGCATTCGTTAGGTGTATTTACTATGTGGCTTGCTTATACCAACGCTCTGCTTGATCCCATCATCTATTCTTTCATGAATAGACGAGTTAGAGCTCGATACCGTGCGATGATGACGAGCTTGAGAATGACTGTATGTAAGACTTAACGAGCTAATAGCTGTGTTCACACAAGATCTTCGCTACTCACGATGACGAGCGTTCACACGGAACCGAAATGACGATTATTCAAAGCCGGGCGTAAGCGTCCACGCAGTGCACAAAATTTCAAGTGAGGACTGAGGACATTTATAATCAGATAATCTGAGACACTGTCTGTTAGTCTTCGCTGGAAAATTGCCTGAATTTTACGATCATTCGGGAATCATTCGCACATGCACCGTATAGTATCCGCGCTCGCACAAAGAAACCTTTTACAAGTAAACCAATGGGGATCTCAGCAAAATTTAACCATGCCCGTTACTCGAGGCAACGGGCATCTTTGTCATTAACTATTGCCCATTACCCGGGGCAACGGGCATAGTTCATTTTTTTGCGGGATGGCTAAAATCACGACTCCAATTTCGACCAATCAGATGACTAGATTTATATAACATACTAAAGAGGTATATATTGCATTATAAGATGATGAAGCGGATCCTAATCAAATGATTGATTGAGAGCGCGTACACATTGACCAGGCATTTATTTTGCCTAACGCGTAATTATACTCATGACCGGTCATTAGTAAAATCATATTATAAACATCATTTTATAAAACAAATAAAACATCATCTTATAAAACAAATAATACACATCAGTTTGTTCGGGCATTAGTAGAATTACCCACACTCGGTACCCTCGAAACAGTCCAAAGGTACCTTGTGTGGGTAATTCTTACTAATGCCCTCACTGCTGTGTATTATTTGTATACTATACCATGTATGACGTCACGGTATATCACATTTTTCTTATCGATAATACGTTTGGTCACATGATGCTATGTTGACCAATCACTGAACTGGATTTTATTAATAGAAATATAATACTTAATAGGCGCCTTGAGCATCCCTAGGATGGATATGTTATATGGATATGTTATAAATATTAATGTAACTATACCATTGTCATCAATGTTATTTAGTCCAATGTCATTATCCAATTCATGCATCAGACATTTTATATATGCCATTTTATCATACTTTAAGTATATACACATAATAATTCGTTTTATCATCTGCGATGGGGACATCCTGATAGACCGGCAATTTATGACATCAATAATGTCCGTTTAGTATTGAAACCTTCAATAAATTAATGTGAGGGAAGGCCGTGAGATTGACTTTGTCTGTAGCCATACTCTACTGTGCCTTTTTTTTCTACAGTTCAATTTCACCATTGTTTTTCTCGATTTTGTCAAGATATGGTTATTTGGTAACGTTTTGTACAATTATGTTGTAAACTATTGTAAAAAACACAGAGCTACGTGCACATCCACTATTCGTTACACACACATACAAACACGCACGCTCGCGCGCACGCACACACATACACAATATATATATATATATATATATATATATATATATATATATATATATATATATATATAGGCGTGAAGAAAATGGTCTAGGAACGTATATATATATATATATATATAAGTGCGAGAATTCTCAACTCTGACATGACAACGGGTGTTCCAGAATATGTAAGCGTGAAGAAAAACTTGTAAAGTACAGCTACGTCTCACGTTCCTAGACCTTTTTCTTCACGCCTATATATATATCTATATATATATATATATATACATATATAATTTATATATATCAACTCACACGACACACTCACAAACTCATACACAAAGATCATTTAAACACTTTTTCATTATATAACCGCCATCCTTGTCGAGGGTCGCTTATGATTGAGGTTTCTTGCAGTTTTTCTACAGATAGTTTGGATAATACTTTAAATTTATAATAATATTTTATAGAAATATTAATTTTCGTTATTACATGCACATATTATGTTTTTGAAAAAACATTTCGACCAGAAGCTATTATTATTGTTTGCATTTCTTTTGTATACATTACGTTTATATGTTCTTTGTTGTTCAGTTATTATATTTGGAAAAATGCAGAAATAAGATCAAATCAAATCAAATATTTCAAAGAGGATGTATTCATCTTGATAAATAAATTGAATGTAAATGGACAAATTGGCGTTTGTCTTTTAGGGGAAATGATTTATTGAGACGAGCACTACTAGTATGCTATTGCAGCTGCTGCTATAAACACAACATTTGTATTGGGGACAGGAAGATATACCATGAACACACAAAAGAATATTGTGATAACAGTATCAGTATCAGTTACCTAAAGGAAATGAAAAGGGTAATATTATAGAAACATTATTGTGACCACCTTAGTTTATTGTATCCAGCATTAATATACATATTAATCTCGCTCAATGTGACCTGACCAGAGGGGCCATCGATCTTCGCTTGGGCCAGTGAGGGGGTTTCCCTAGGGCTGATAAACTGTACAGTATATCGATGGCTCTGCTTTGATGCTCTGTATTGACGCAGAGACATCTATACACAGAGTTTGGCCAACTTGATTTCACTGGGTCACTACATGGCGTATATCCTTTTGTTGTGTGCTTGCCCAACAAAGCAGTAGTCGCCATATTAGGGACTTTTAGATTTGCACGTCGACAGCTTTGACTGCAACGTGTGACGTCATTTTAAGACACTGCGCATGCGTTACGTCGTCTCAGTCGGCGATCGAGAATGCGTCAACCCTGATTTTCCTAAATCTAGTACATACATATTGATATTTATATAGCGCCTTTACATGCTCAAAAAATATACAGTTCCTCAGGTAGACAAAGGAACATCCCTTCCCTGCTATTATGTAAAAATGTGTAGAACAGGTGTCACATGCATATTCACCTGTTCTACACGTTTTTACATAATAGCAGTGAAGAGGTGTTCTTTTGTTGAGGGTAGAATGAGCAACTGTATATTTTGTCCTCTTTCTGTGTCCGTGATGTTCGTAGTGTTACTTCCTGCATGCATGTTTACCGTCGAGTGCAATCTAAAAGATTTCTTATTGTAGTCAACATGGGCAGTTAAGTACGTTGACACGCATGATCAGTCGGCGTTCATCGTGTTCTCGTCCACTCAATCTAAAAGTCCCTATTGTGTCCAACTCGAACCGGGTTGGCCAAACTCTCATAATCAATGGCACTGCATTGACGGATAAAAGAGCGCCAACTGTGTCCATTTTCTGTCATCGTTGCTAACTTTTTTTCTTTGTAAATCTATACATGCATACTAACTTTGTTATAAGGGTATCAATTTACATCATGATTACTGCTCGTCCCATATTTATAAAAAAAAAAAAAACGTTAATTTAAAACATCCAACATTTTACGTTTATTTTCCTATGATTGCGTTTCTTACCGACTACGGTGAATATAGATAGAGTGGTGGTTTTTATACCGATATGTAAAGATTATCGGGTGTACATTTTATTCAAAGAAATCTGCTGTTTAAGGAAACATATTAGGCCTACTTTGTTCGTAGATCATAATATTTTCACAACGATCTTGGAGTAAAGATGTGATTGATTGAATCATTTTATATTACGGCAACTGGAATATCTTTTTTAAACGTAAAGTAGGCCAATTCTGTAAGTTTCATTTTTTGTTCATTGGTAATTTGTTTGTGTACTTTCGCTTTCTCCCCTTCTCCCCGATTTCCTGTATGATATTTTATAACATACAAATAGTTTACATACATAATCGTATCCCTTATAATCCTTTATTAATATTTGAATAATAATAAGAATAATGATGCCCTAGCTATTATGACCCTGTCATTTTGACACATGTTTAGTTTACTCTGATGCCCTGTTCAGTTCGTAAATAATTTGGGTCCTATTTCTAAAATCTATATCATTTCAAGGCTTCTGGTAATTTTGCTATAAATTTATTTTGGTTCCCTAAAAATGAATTTTGTATCAAATTCAAGAGATTTAGACGTATGCATACATTATAATTCACAAACGGTATTCTTCCATCGTGTATAAGTGCCCCATATTTTTCGTCCTTTGATGTTTCACAGATAATCCAAGAAAAGCAGTTTATAAACAAATGAGAAATATTATCATCCGTCTTTTAATTTTCAAAAAGATTGAATTCATCGTCAATTATATATTGTTGGCCCGTATTAAACTTTAAATTGTAAATAAATTGGAATGTCAAGTTCTATGAGCACTAGGCTACTTTGTAAGTTCCTGCGACCTAAAATATATATTCTGTATCAACTTGTATGTAATATGCGACATATATTTGGAAATGAATTATGAAATCTAAATATTTGATATGCACGTCAATCCACTGTATTAATAACATTGTTGCACTCTCTTCTACGTCCGGTCTTGCTGAATGGCTAATACTAAGCTTTCATCAGGCAACAGGATTAGTCTGACTTATTTTTTCGTCTGCCAATCACGATTATCAAAAAAGGAAATACTTTGAATTTTCATGAGTAAAAAAAGAAAGAAAGTATAATATTAAATTTCCGCAATACAGAATGACAAAAATATAATCAAAATTTAATATTGAGTTAATTTTACTGTGACACTGATGTGCAGATAATGGAACTTGAATATAAATGTTTTGTAAATTCGAAGAAAATTTTATGTTTGCATTATTTTTAGGGAACAAAATCAGGGGAATGTAAAAACCTGCTTTGGTGTATATGGAAAGTGGATACGTAATAAAATCATTTCATACACAGAATTTGAATTACAGTTGTATTTCGGGTTAGATTTATTGAACGAAACATTGATACCAAAACCCAGTGACTCCAAACCCTCCCCCTCACAAATAATGTTTTAAAGACTACACTAATTCATCTTCCCTAAATGGTATCAGATAGACCATCAAGATAAAAAGAACATAAGAGAGATTTTGGCACTATTGTAAGTCAGGCATTGGTCAGTCCTCACTCTCATGTCGGGCCCCTGTAGGATTTACACATGAATTTTAACTTGGTATTATGACTTTTGTTCTACTTTTGCACAATGAGGTAGGATGACCCAAAGAAGAAAAAAAGGTCAAGAGAGAAAAGGAGAAAAAGGGGATGAGAACAAGTGTAAGTGAGAAAGTAAAATGAACATGAATAGAGATGATAGGGCTACACAACCTCCCCTATTAAAATGGCTTGGATAAGTTTCACATTTTCCCCTGTCCCCAGCCCCCCCCCCACCCCCCCCCCCCCCCCCCCCACCCCTTCTCCTCCATGCTTGAGACCAGAGCCCCCTCAGATCTTGGGCCCACGCTACGCTAACGCCCTTTATGGCATGGATTACTGTTTGGCCAATGCTTCAAGATTATTGATTTAAACATAGTAGGTCCATGGAATTAAATAAAATACGGTCTTAGATATCTAAAGAATCTCACAGAGTATTGAGTATATTTTGTGTGATCAACTTGTATAATCATTCTAAAATTTATAAATTTCAGCCAATGAAGTTCTTCTTTTTCTTCTTCTTCTTCTTCTTCTCCCTTTTCTTTTTACTTGTTCTTCCTTTTTCCTTCTTCTTCTCCTTCTTCTTGTCCCTTTTTTGTTCTTCCCTTTCTCCTTTTTCTTTTTCTTCTTTTTCTTCTTCTTCTTCTTCTTCTTCTTCTTCTTCTTCTTCTTCTTCTTCTTCTTCTTCTTCTTCGGTGTAATCTGCTTTCTGCAACCTTGAAGATTCCTGCAGAAGTGTCCATGTGAGATATTATGTGTGTTTGTGTCGTAATGTAAGGATCACGTGCCAATAATACGTTTATAAAAAAGATGTGAGCAAATTATTTGTTAGGAAGAAATGTCTTGCATAGCAGATTAAGATCTGCCACGATACTCCCTTGCAGAATCGCCCAATTCAAGGATAAGATTTTAAGTCTCATCCATGAGGTTTCCGCTATGACAATGTTTACGAGGAGTTTAATTGTGATACTATTTATCAATCAATTTAGAGCCTGGGGTCACTCTTTCTCAACCACTCCAAAAAGGGTAGACTAACTCCCGGCATACAGTACATGCAATAGGCGCCCAATATAGCCGAAAATAAGGGACAACAATCGAACACCCCTTTCAGCTTCTGAGGCTCTCTGATTGGGGAATCATTGACCTGTGGCGGACAGGTTGGGTTAGGACCATCAGCTTTTGTGAGACCTACTATCAGGTCTATTCATTGATGTATACAATCGCCTTAACAACGAGTATCAAGCGAATCGTTACACGACAAGCCTAATGCCCCATGTGTACAGGAGCCTATATGGGACTATTATTACAGGGCCGCTTCGATCTATCTGTAAGGAACTGTTTCAGAAGAATATTAGGAGAGTGGAGAATTTAGTACAGTCTTGAGACAGTAGGAGAAACATCACCACGTATCGGATATAAACTTCGGCAAGATTCGGTCAATAACATTGGCTAGTTGAAGACGTCACTTACATGATCATGTGGTTTTTCGTCGTAAAGTGACGTCACATGTACCTGACATTCATGTTCTATTGTAAATGCCTTTGAATTGATCGTGAATCATAGGATATGATCGTCACTCACCATTTGTTTACAGCCAAAATATCCGCAACCTTTACGGAGGAAACATTGGGATAACCATTTGGGCTTCGGCAAGATGAAAACTTAGCGACCTATCAAGATTGGTTTCTAGCTATATAATTTACAGTTGTTTCCATCTAGACTATAAATTTAATTCAGTTCTATTGATTGACAGTGATATTCATCGAACTTTGTGATTATGGGGTCCGGTGCTTCTAAGAAAAAACCGGAGAGCACAGTGCAGAAGAAGTTGAGGTAAGTTTTATTATATATATCGTGGACTCAAATTTCCTTTCATTTGAGTTTCATATTTCAGATGATTGTTTGGATTCATAATACTTTTTTTAATGCGTCACTCATTGTTTAGTTAGAAAATGATAGTAAAACTATATAATCGTCCTCCCCCTCCTCATCCTTGTTCTTCTTCTACTGCTGCTACTACAACTATTACATGTCCTACTACTAGTTCTTCTTTTCTTCTTCTTCTTCTTCTTAATACCATCATTATTCGTAGTAGTATTTTCATTATTATAATTATTATTATCATTATTAGTATCATCATTAATTTTATTATTATCAATAAAATATTAGTAGTAGTAGTCAAAGTTGTAGTCGTAGTAGTAGTAGTAGAAGTAACAGTAGTATTACATATATTGTTATTGATATCATCACCATCATGAGTACTATTGTTTATTTTTGCTTTTCTTAATCTTTCATTTAATCTCCTTTCCCCGATGGATATCACAAATACACTTCGTTCCGATGTGCAATCTTGTAAATGGAAGGCAATATTGTATGAACGTGTATACAACGTTATAATGATGTCAATATCAACATGGATTATGGCTCAAAATCAGGGAGTATGATGACGCGAAAAATAGCCATGTTTGCCAAACTTGTAACTATATGCGTTTTTATTTTCATATCGTGGGTTCATTCTAATTAATCAATGTCTCAGAAAGTATGCAGGGGTCATTTTGATGTACTTAAAAAAAAAGTTACAGTGAATGATCAAATTAGTGATGCTATTATCTTCATATAATTTTCTCTGCTTTCTATTTTTAGGGCTGCAGCAGCTTTTAGCAGCGCGGGTAAACAAGCTCAAGAAAGGAGAGAGTTACAAGAGACAGAGACAGGTATGAATGAACTTGATATATTTGATATCCAATGTTCTACATAAGTGACAAACGGATCTATGAGGAATTCATACTTTAGTAATTTCTTATTTTCGTAAAAATTCGTAAAACTTGTCATTAACTTCACATATAAAACAATATTTTTCAACAATTAAAAATAATAAGAAAAAGTTTTTAAAAATGAATGAAATTATCAGTAATGATGACAATTTTTTGATGATGATGATGGTGGTGGTGGTGGTGATAATGATGGTGGTGGTGGTGGTGGGGATGGTGGTAGTGGTGATGATGATGATGGTGGCGGTGGTGGTGATGATGATGGTGATGATGATGGAGGTGATGGTGATGATTGTGGTGGTGGTGGTGGTGGTGATGATGGTGGCGGCGGTGGTGGTGATGATGATGGTGATGGTGGTGATGGTGATGATGATGGTGTTGGAGGTGTTGGTGGTGATGATGATGATGGTGGTGGTGGTGATGATGATGGTGATGGTGGTGATGGTGATGATGATGGTGGTGGTGGTGGTGGTGGTGATGATGGTGATGGTGGTGATGATGATGGTGATGGTGGTGGTGGTGGTGGTGGTGATGATGGTGGTGGTCGTGATGGTGGTGGTGATGATGATGGTGATGGTGGTCGTGATGGTGGTGTTGGTGTGGTGGAGATGATAACAAAAAATAATAACTCTTGCCTACATTACTAAATTCTATTTTTATTTATCATATTTTCATTTATTATCAATTCAAGATAAAACTATTGTAAAACTAGTAGTGTAATCAACTTCGTTTTGAAGACGTGTGTTTGCCATTGTATAACATGGGGTACAGTGAGCAACATGATTGTAGAGTTGGACGTAATCATTTGGGTGTTTAATTTGTTAAGAATGGTGAAAATAATAATGATCATCATCCTCATCATCGTCATCATCATCATCACCATCATCATCATCATCGTCATCGTCATCATCATCATCATCGTCATAAATGGGTCTTATTTACCCAGGGTAATTAAACACTTAATTAAAACCCTGCAATGTGGGCAAAACACACTGTCCAATAGTGTAAGTACCAAGCACGGCTCGAACCTGGAACCTCTCGTATGAGAGACAAGAGCCTTCCCCAATATACCAATGTGCTCCACATTCATAACTGGCAGTCCTGTTACTCTCCCAAGAAAGTTAATTATGTATTGATATAAGATGAATCAGTGGAGGTAAATCATGACCACGCCCTAATATTCAGCGAATTAATGACTCATCCCAAAATCCCTTCCAGCAGTTCAATCAAAATGGATGCCTACTGTTTGTAAACACATGAAATGAAATCAAATATAGGAGGAGCTAGTGGGAGGTCTTCGACACTTAAAAGTAATAAGATTAACTTCTTTACATTAGCCGCGGTTCTCGAAGAATATATATATACATATATTTTCTGCATTCTCGCTTACATTAACTTATAATCAAGGAAAGAATGGGGAGGGGGGTTGAAGATTTTGGTGGAAACTTGATTTTCCGCCGACCGAAGTGCCCCTCTAGACCGCTACCGCTTTACATGGAAGAAGCTCGTTATTCATAATGGTTGCAAAATATCTTCGCGCATCGTAGTACTAATATATCCCGTCTTTAAGCAATACTATGGCTTCTGTTGAAGGATGAGCAACAATCGAAGCTTTCCAGCAGTCTGCAGATCGTGATCTTATTGTTCCATGAATCGATTTAAGTTCCCTAATCTCTCTCTCTCTCTCTCTCTCTCTCTCTCTCTGATCTTTTCACAAAAGGGAATTCAAATTCCTTCTCTTGACGAGATTAATGTCAAATCATGCATTGACTAAACAAACGAATCCTCGGCAACACAGTATGAGTAAGCTCGCTGCAGGAGATACCAAGGACATAATGTTTAACGGAATTATATAGTCAGCTTTAATAAACAAATATATATATTTAAACAAACCACAAACACAAACAAACAACGAAACGGGTATTTTCGATAAATTTCAGGTTTCTCCCAACCCGTTTAGGATTCTTATAACTTGTAGTCTTTTACTATTTGTATTTTAAAAAGATTATTCCAAACAAACAAAGGACCTTTCTTTAACATCTTTATCAATAGGGCTTCAATTTATCAGTCATATTATTGATTGTCGTTTTGAAGAAGAAAAACAAGAATAAAATCCACAAAGTAGTAGTTGAAAAATACAGAGGCCTCGTAAATCAAGATTATTAACGTTTTTCCATTTCCTGGATATGTAAATATTTAGATTAGTTGCATAGTAGCAATGTTTGCACCCCTTTGAAATTACTCTTACCTTTCTAAGCACAACCTTGCCATTATATTTTATGTTGTATTCTTAATTGATTTTGTGTGAGTGTCTTTGGATCGACATTTAAACTACGTCAATTCAAACCACTGCCGCCACACAATGTGATTTCTACTCCATCTCTTTGTGTTTCTCGCTGAACATCAATGCTCGAGCTGTAAATAGAAAACCGTAATTGTTACATAAAACTGTTTGATTTGGAGAGATCGATATGCCCCTGACAGGGTATTGTTCTGTCATGGCCACGGTGACAAATCTTCTCTTCAGTCATTGTTCTATCGTATATTACAGTAGATTAACACGTTCCCCGTAGTCAAGTTAGCTCTAGGTACAGAACGGAGCCATTATATCGTATAAGAGAAGGGGAAACCCCGGTGTACACCCCAATCAGTTATACCTGGAGGAGAGACACGAGGGTTACAGTGATTCAGTTCGCTTTTTGTCTCCCAGGTACAAGTGACGACAAATTAATAATAATAATAGTTTTAAAAATATTAATAATATTAATGGCTCTGAATAGAGCGACCAAACAGGGTTTTTTTTTTGGTAATGATTATTTGTTTATGTTCATGTGCATTTAGTATTTGTTTTATACGGAAAATTAAAAATCAAATCAAACCAAACTTCTAAAACATTTGAAGAAACGAATTAATGAGTTTGGAAACAGGTTGATTTATTTATATTGATTAATTATCGTCATAATATTTTATGCTACCACCCGTTGAGAATAAATTATGTGCCATTCATGTTATAATGATATTTCCTAATCACCATGAATATCACTTTGTTACATAGACTTACAAAAGATGGTGAGGAAAAATAATTGAATAAATTCAAAGAAAGACCTCACTGTTGATTTCGGGGAAACATTACATCTAATCAGACACGCTCATCACAAGCTATAACACAAAACAAAGCATAACCAAGACTAATTACAAAATCAATAAAGAAGCGAGATAGCCTACACAATAAACTTGATAATCAATTATAGCTAATTGAGAACATTTTTGACGGCATATTAGCGTGACAATAAAGCGATTCATGATTGTCAGATAATGTGTGGTGTTCTGAAACTGATTTAATACAAAATATGAATGGAGCTGATCTGTGCATTAAACTATCTTAAGATGCTAGCAAACATTTACCAGCAAATTGATAAGCGTTCATGTGTGCTGACAGAGAGATATGCAAATTTTTTGATATATAGTCGTTTTCTTCATTTATTCTCCGTATGGCTCACAAAAAAAAGAGGCCTACACAAAATAACAATAATTAGGCCGGTACTACATGATTCCACTTTCAAGTCCACTTTCCATCGTTAACTCCGTTTCTCGTTGATTTATTTTGAGCTGTTTGTGTATACATATAACAAGCGTGGTTTGAGAACGTTCACTACTTTTCTTTCAATCAATGAACAACTTTGAGAATACCCGTAAATCTATGCTGGGTAGAACAAGCTATGACACAGAAAATCACGACGAGCGTGCTTCATTATAATAATATTAATTGTAAAAATCTAAATATAGACTCGATCTAGTTCGATATCAATATACACTGCACTTAATAATGACAGATTAATCTGAATACATCATATAGCCAGGAAATATCGATCGAAGAACAGTATACTGATAAGAACTTGTAATTACTGAGTTCATTGATAGGAAATTGACCTAATAACCCATCACTACCGTTATGAGAGTTAATCCTTCCATACCGTTAGCTAAACTTTTACTTTAAGAATATAACAATGCAACACTCGGCAGCCTGGTATGCATCATAATGCATGTATAGTGTCATCAAAGTGTAAATCACAGTTTGCGGGTTACAAGTTATAGTAACATGTTAATATTCATGTTTCATCAGCTATCTTTATTAGTCGTTTTATATATACTTGTATCATGTTTATTAGTTTTTAAAGTCCCACCCTTGTTCATCTTTACCTATCTTGACAATACATTATGTATAATAATTATTATCTTTTTCTTTTCCCCCATTTTTATTGACACAACTTACTGTTGATGCTATTTGCAGTTTTCTTTTAGTAATTCATCTTATTGTAAAAAGACCATTCAACATTTTTTAGATGAACAATAACAAGAAGTCCCAATTCCGGAACTGTAGATGAATATACAGGGAATTCCCGTGGTCATTCTCAAATCAAAATATTCCTACAACTGACAGGGCTGACGTAATCATGACGTAGTAATCTAGTCCTTTTCATGACGCATTGTTATATTGGGATGAACGAAGACACGACTCTCGAGTTCTTACATACAAAAGACTAACCAAATTAAATTTGTCGATCATCTCATTCACATCTATTCGCCTCCTACACACACAACACCATGCTATTTACCCAACTTCTTAACGAGGAACAGGTATCTCTAAATGAGCCTTGTGTATACAGCTCTTGAAAGTCATAGAAATACTTTTCATTCATACCTTGGTTCATTCATGGACCTACTGTAGTGTTGGCACCCGTTTAACAGACTTATTTGCTTATCCGTCTTGTGCACTTGTCACCAAGAGTGTTTACCCCTGCTTCTGAAAACGTGATACAAGATAATGACCTGATATTGAGATGAGTTTACAGTGATAGAATCAGAGTTTAGTCAATTTGGTCGCAAAATGGCGTATATTCTTTTGTTCTGATGTGCTCGCCCAATAAAGCAATATTCGTCAAATTATGCCAAACTCTCCTAATCAATGGCTCCGCATAGAATGGAATGGCGCCATCAACGAACTAAAATCACTCTGAGTTCAGTTTCCGCTTCGCTCCTGTTGCTAGGCAACTTACACCGGTTTTAAAGATCCATACTTTATTTTCTTCGAAACCTTTTTTCGCTTTCTTTCAGTCCAAAGAAATAATTTCAAAGCAATCAAATAATTTGAAACATTCATTGTGTTATGAAGTTGTTTCTCAAACACATGAATGATTGTAGTAACAGTGACTTTGTAATTATTCACGACTAAGGAAAGATACTTTGTGATTATCAACCTTTGCTATTATAAGCTTGTCTTCATTATCTACAGAAACGAATGGAAATGAAACAAAGACAGACACGTTCATCACACAACCAGACCGTGAGAAAGAAAATGGAGGACCCGTTGCCAATGACAACGAGAAAGTTGACTCAACACTTCAAAATGGCGTCACCACGAAGGACCCGGAGCCAGAAGATGACGAAGTCTTTGACAAGGTCACCAAAATTCAAAGGTAATTAATTTGTTGATTATTCGTTGGCATTTGATATAATAAGATTTTTGATTATTTATTTTGATTAAAAAGTAGAGTTTTGAAATACAAAAAGACTATATCAACGACATGACTAAAAGCTAACATTTCATATGCAATCCAGGCATCGCTCTTTTGTATAATGAGATACACAAATTAAACAAATTTAAACAAAATAATAACATGAGTTGTATTCAGATGAAAAACAAAAAAATAAACATTGCCAGCTATACTGTCTGCACAATAAATATATCTTGCAAGACAGATATTCTACTGTCTTGTGATGTTGCGTGATATCTACTACTACATAGCTCTATTATATCATCTTTCAAAGCACAACTCCGTGCCTGAATGATTAAGAATAAACAAACTATACATATTGAATTCATGTTACTCTTAAAAACCGTTTAGATACCACAACACAAAGTAGAAAGAAATGAATTCAAAGAACAGACCCCAAAATGGAAGCTAAACATAGCGACCATAAATGATTATGAATTATTCTGCAAACTACCGCGCATAACAATCAAGCCCCGCTGGCAATTAAATCATCTTTGTTAACATCATCAACTGTCATCCTTTTAATTCTTATAAAAAGGTCTCTAATTAAAAAAAATCTATAATCTTTTCCACGCAAAATCACAATAATGATTCTGAAAAGCAACAATGAATTTCCTTATCTATAGTAAGGGGCTTAAGATGACAAGAGCAACATTATTAATCACCCATTGTTTGATCGTTCGATAATTGTATTTATTCAAGCAGCATTATGAATATGATAATCAATGCGATTCACCAATGCAGTCAATGTAAACCTTCCAATTATTTGATGCTCTGAAGAAGCCATTGTTTGCAGTGGATTCAAGGATCAACTGCACTCAAATATGATGCACATTTCATCAGTTTAAATTGAAATTTATGATACCGTCATAGTAGTTTGTCAGCCAATTTTGAGAAATGGATAAATTGAACGACGTGCTATTAATATTATACCAGACTGTATTTTGATAGTATTGTCAATTTTAAAGTATTATCTGCCTGAATCTGTTTGTCATAAAGGATTCGCTTCATGTGCTTCAAAAAGTGAAATTCATTCAGACAGGCTGACGTATTATATCTATTATTGTGTGTAGTATATAACACTAAAAGCATCAAATATTCTGACTTGATAGCTGAAGAGCAATACGTTGTCACATTGACAAAAAAGTGATTTAGTAAAATTGGTTCCAGTTGATGGAGTAGATGGAATTACCATATACTGCCAATTTGATTAATTAGAAGCGAGTATCCATCGTGATATAGGTGCCTTGACGACGATCAACATTAATGATATTCATTGTATTGTCACATTAGAATCCACCTCTTTGCATGACTACACAAGTCTACAACTAGAGAGAAATAATGAGAGAGATGTGCATCCAACTGTTTACCTCCAGCCTCTATCAAATACACCAGAAGGAAATACTATAGTCAAGCAATAATTAATCAATGGCAACACTGAAATTTATTCTTGTTTCAATGAAAAGCGCTCTTTTATAATCAACTCCATTGAAATTGAACACCGATGGGATCGGCAATTGGATAATAACCCTTCGAATATCATCATCCTTGCGCACACGGTTCGGGACACGGTTGCGTCATTTCATCACTACCAATGTTGCTATTGCAGAAGAGTCGCTATTACTGATTCAGATTCAAGATACAAGACTTCAGGATAATACTCCATATCTGTGTATAAGCTTTATTGTTCCGTCGTGCCACATCTTCCTATTTTGAGGAAATTATTCAGACTAACTTTAATTAATTTAAAGATGTCTCGTCAATCAAAGTGGAGCAATTTTGAAATATATCTTTACAGTGTCTTTCGAGGATATCAGGATAGGAGAGCATTACAGAAACAAAATGAGATGGCCATCAAAATACAGAGGTAAGTTAATCAACAGTAAATATTACTGAAAATATTGAAAATTAAATCAAATGATGAAAACAATAAAGATGCCTAATTAGTTTCTGGTGATCTTTGTTGATTACTAGTAACAGAAAAATACATTTTGATAAATCAAGGAAAACTGTCTCGGAGCTAGCTACGAGGTATTCTTCGAGGCTGTTTACGTACAGTTAACAAATAAATTATTCATACCCTTACCAAGTTTTGTAATTTTTGAAATATGTGAAAAGTGATTTGTATTGGTTTATGTTTCTTTAAAAATGTGACATATCAAAGCTTACATCTAAAAGTACCGGTATTCAACAAAGGCCCAACTCAACCAGTCCACATTTCGTTCTTGAGTTAGGAAAAACACCCCCCGCCCCCCAAAAAAGAAATATATATATATATATATCAACTTTACAAGGGGTATAAATAATTTAGTTGTTAACTGTAGTAATAAAATGTTTCATGAAGTTTTTTTAAAAACCATCAAAGTTATAGTAATATCGAGAATACTTGGATTTTCTAACCATCACAATTATCATTAAGAGGCAAAATAGAGTAAAATTATGTAACTACACAAACATGACATGCAGCCAAAATTGCTTGTTCCATGGATTACTTTAGTCTTATTTGCTAAGAAGATCCTACTCCACATGGAATTTGAAGAAAACAAAACACGACATATGACCTGTTTTACCTTTACCACTACTCCAAATTATTTTTAAGGGATAGGTGAACACTGTTTTCAACCATAATATTCTTTTCAAATTCTACTTAATTTCAAGACTTTGAAATGTCTGACATCAAGCTGTAGAGTCAAGATCATAAAGTATTTTTCCGTTTAACAAAGTGACTAGCAAAAATGATGACAGAGTAAGTGAGTGTTGTTGCATTATCATCCGGAGACTACTTCCAGATGTATTTTTGGAACGCATTGTTTCGTGGAGTCAATGTAGGTTCGATGTCAAATTTGATTTTTTTTTTTTTCTTCAAACTTTTAATATATGAATATTCCTATTTCTCAGCAAACGAGATGTGAATATGAAAAGAATATCATCATGATTAATATGATTATAACACTTAAACGTTAACATCAAATCGTCTATTTCTCGCTCACCAGGCAATTTCGTCGCCATCGTTCTTCGATATTGAGCGAAAGCGACGTTCAAGAGGCGTTGAGATCATCTCCACAACCTGTGATCCCTTCCGTTCCAGACTACGAGAAAACAACTGTGAAGAAGCTCACCATAGAAGAACAAATGAAGAGTGAGCTTTCTTATCTTTCATTTCCTTTATTCATCTATATTTCTTTCTTTCTTTTTAGTCCTTCTACTGATCTAGAAAGGGGGCAAAAGGCTCACGATTTATAGTTCTCTTTATTGATCTCATTACTTATTTTTTTTCTCTCTCCCTCTCTCCCCCTCTCTCTTTCTTTCTCTCTGACACAGTCGTTTCTGTCTCTGTAGTTACATATTTCTCAATTTCTCTTCCTCTCCCTTCCTTTTCCCTCTTTCCCTTTCCCTCTCACCCCTCTCTCTCCGTGTCCCTTCATCTCTCTCTCTCTCTCTCTCTCTCTTTCTTTCTCTCTCTCTCTCTTTCTTTCTCTCTCTCCCCCTTTCTCTCTCTCTCTCTCTCCCTCTCTCCCAGATCGTCCTTCTTTCAGCTGTATTTGTGAAATATTTATATCTTTTGACTTACCAGTAATTCCTTTTACCTTCCCATACGTGGTTTTTATCTACCATAATTATAGTTCGACAAGATGAAATGAAGCAATTTCACAGAGGTAAAGGGCATTATGTACTCATGTCATATAAGTCCATATTAATCATTAATCCAGCGCAACAACCATCATCATTTCCATTATAAATTTATAGATATTATATACATTCCTATTTTAGTATTGTGAACTCGTGAATATTAAAGTTTTCTACCGTAATTTTGTTAAGCAATATGTGCATACATAAGCATGGGTCGTTGTTTGTTTTGTCTTCATTCCACCCTTTAAAACATTCATCCCATAAATCATTACGCATTTGTTCGAAATAGTTACACAATCATATTAATATTGTAATACATTAATTATCACTATAGTCGTATGTTATATATTTCATTATATCAAAAGCGTATATGGACTGAAAAGTGATAAGCGCTATATGCAAGTATCGTTTATTATACAAAAATATATTTTAAAAAAGATGGAAAAAGTATCGTTTATCATGCATTTAACTAAAGATAATTGTGGCTGGACGACCCGGGGCAAACTGTATCTAAAAAATGAAATATTCTGGTTGTAGATCTGGGGAAAATAGAGATATATTCAATCCTTCAGGAAATATCTGAAACCCTTTTTTTTTAAATGCAGTAAGATGTGAGTCTGTAATGTGAAACATTTCAATGGACGGAAACGCGAAATATCTATGAAGTAAATCATCTAACGCATTATATTGACATCATTGATTCATTTCATATTCATATTCAAGGAATGGGTTTAATGCATTTGGTGAAGGAAGATAACAATAAATAGGAAAATAAATTAAAAATGGGCAAATAAAGTAGTTGCAATGTTACAAATAAAGTAGTGCACAAAAATCAGGCTATTTCAAATGCAATAAAACTGCAATTGGAAGGAGGAAAAGAGACAGAGGATTAAATAGTTCCTTTCTCATAATCAACTTGCGCTGCTTGCTTTTGTTCGGGCCTAAAATACAATGATCATATTTGATTTGGTATGGGGCTTACGTGAGGCTGGAGTGTATAAGTAGTATATGTGGCGACTGTTTTGGTATGTATTTAAAACCAAATTGCGAACATTAATACCCATCATCATTGTGAGGGGCATGAACGCAGGGATGATGTTGCTGGATATCTTTGAAATGAAAGTTGTTTGGGGGATATAGAGGTGTCGTGGTCGAGTGTCGATCACAAGGTCCGCGGTTCGAGTCCCGCCGCGGCCTTAATGTCCTTTGGCAAGACATTGATCTACATTTGCCACACTTAACACAGGTGATGTAAATGGGTACCTGGCAGAAATTACTACCTTGAAATACGGGGTAATAATCTCGAAGTTTGGAAGCGCTTAGCGACTTAATTGTAATTCGCGCTAAAAGCTGAGTATTATTATTATTATTTTATAGTAGGTCCGTCCCCATAGACTCGCGAATGAGGTAGGATAAAAGAACTCCCGTAACATTTTTTTCTTCAATTGTCTACCTCAGAATGTATTTCGTGGCTAAAGGCATTTTGTTATAATCTTGTTATTCGCTCATCTGTATTCATACACAGTTCTATCTGAACGGAAGGAGCATCGAAGACAGAGAGCACGTGCATGGCGTGATACGCAAGGGACTGATACTAAAGACAAGGAATTCAAATTTGAGATCGGTAAGTGCCTCACATTATTAATATTGGAAAGTGTGATTATTGTAATCATTTATTCATTAATGTATTGAATGTTTGTTTGCTAACCGTCAATTGATTTATTTGCAAAATGAGTATCATGATTGGCTATAGGGAGATGGGACAAACTTGTACCCTTTGCTTCACGGAGGTCCCTTCCCCCACATAACACCAATATAGGACCCAGAACTGAACCTTGTGGTATATTATGATAGCAGACTGTGATTTGATACCATTGACCACAACTAGTGCATTCGACAGGAGATATGACTTTTGAACCAAAACGAAATTGTTTATTAAAACATGTCTTGCCGTCAAACATGGAATATACATGTTTTACAATGCAAGTAAAATATATTATTAATACAAATTAAAGCAGACAATGAAATAAAACCTGCGATTCCTCTGTCATCATAATGTTCAAGTTTAATTACAAGGATATCGAGGTCAATGGTGTCAAATCGAAGAATATTCCAATAAAGGCAGTATTTACCTTTGTCAATAATTTATATCGCTTGTAGATTTTTGTTAGGAAAGCCAATTTTCTGTGAGATCAAAATGTTTCTTTGCAAAAGAAAATTATCTAAATAGTTATGTAATAGTTTCGTATTATTTTCTTCAATTCTTTTGAAAATATTAGGCCAAGTTTCGGTTTCCATTTCCCCCTCATGATGAATTATTTTTAAAGATGCTCTATGTTATGAAACTGAACTCTTCCTTTCTTATACATAATTGATGTAATTGTGTTGTTCGTACATCAAATCTATTGGCATGCTAATAAGCTTGATAATTTAGGTCACTTTTGATACATGCATTGGAGCATTATACATCGGGACGTGTGATGGAATAATGCCATTTTATATTTGCGCGCGAATATGAATAGAAAAGTGAAAAGGAACGCTCTCTAAGAAGGGCAGATTTTGGCAGACTATACTGTTTTAATTATTAGTTTTATTCATATTTCTTCCATTTAAAATTTTTTAGATAGTGAAATCGAATCATTTTAGAATATGGGTCTGTTTTAATACCGCTTACAATATAATTATAAATGGGTCATATCAATGCGTGCTTCTATGGTCTTTGTACGTGAAGGTATCGTGTAATTGATTTTAACAGCAGACTGTTTTCAATCAATATGCGTGACGTCATAAGTCACAAAGGTAACCTTTGGAATGCATTCTGCTGTTCGATGGCGTTCTCGTAGGTTCATGAATATGTATGAGGTATTCCGTGTGTCGTACATTTCGGATGGGACAATATGATGTCTTATATTCCTCTTTGTCTGTCTCGTTTTTATGCAACTTTTTTCTTGTTCAGCCTTTCTTGTTGGAGCAACAACAAATGAGTAGACTCTGTCAAAAACAGAACCATATAGGAAGTCTGTACGAGTGGGAGCTGAGGCTATGAACAAATATTTCAATATTTTTAATATATTTTTTTGGTAATCAAATTGTTTCCAGGTAAAAAGACGAAACAAGAATTTGGTAATTTCCAGGACGAGATTACAGAGCTGAAATGGTATGCAGAACAACAGTTAGAGATAACGTTATGTGGAGGCAAAGAATATGTCCCTCCCAGAATACTGGTAGGTGCTTTTATTTCTTTCTTCTTTTTCTTCTTATCTTCTTCTTCTTCTTCTTTTTGTTCTTATCTTCTTCTTCTTCTTCTTCTTCTTCTTCTTCTTCCTTTTCTTCTTCTTCCTTTTCCCCATCGACTCAACCTCATTGTGATCATGGTGATAATTCTATTCAAGTAAGAATTTTCAAAAAATTCCGAGGATAAATCTGTTTATAAAACAACAATTGCAAAAACGAACGAGAGAAGGATTGATATAAAATAATGGTTTGGTACGTGGAGTAATTTAGGCCTACTCGGAAATAATAAAGTCATCATGCCACAATGGAAGAAATTGTTCTCTTTATCACCTTTAATTGATTTTGATGTATCTCATTGATATAACATTTAGTAGCATTTCTAGCATAGGGTCAAGACGTTGTATGTCTCTGTTTGAAGTCACTTACAAATTATTTGATAACATTTTCAGAATGGGTTAAAGCCATGACACCTTAAAAAGGGTATATATTCCACTATGCCCCCCCCCTCGTCTGTAGGAACATAAAGCCATGATTGTATTCAACCCTAAAATATCAATATCTATAATGTTTTTAAATTTTGATAATTTGTTTTGTTAAAAAAATATATTGCAGCTCATATCATCCAAGGTGCCCAAGGCGGAAGTACTAGAAGAAACGAAAAAGGAAGAGGGTATCATTGTTATCCGTTACGTAAGTATAAATCAGTTATCTGTTCATTGTATCATTTTATTCGAAATGCAACATTCATTATGATCTTAATGAGAAGAAAATAACAATAATGATATGATTATAGTTTTACGAAAACGCTACAATGCTGTATCCTGATTCATAAGTTGATGAGGACATGGCATTTATATATGCTTGATGTTCTGTTATATTTTGCTTATTTCATCAATCATTTAGCTCAAACTCTTTTTATCCTATCCGATTTGTATCAACGTTTTCTTTTTGTTCAATAAAGGAATACAGCATTGTTTGTAATTTTCTCTGAAGAGAGTGAATGTTGTGCAGTTGTTAAAAAGTATTTTAAAAATTGTGTAGTAAGATCCGTGACCAAAAGCTTGACCCTCCTTTGGCAATGCATTGAAATCATTTCAGTCAACTCAATGACTAACTCCATGTTTTTAAAAAAGACAAAAGAAAACAAATTGAGAAGATACAAATAATTAAAATCCTAAAGTAAAACAAACAATATTTTCTGTTCAACATAATGAAATATTTTTTTGTTTGAATCCACCCACTTCAGGACTTCAACAACGATACGTTTGATACGTTAATAGGTGAGTAATCGTACAGATTCAAAGTAAATTATTATCTAAATCATATGAAAATTTAATCGAAATGAAGAATAATGAACAATGTTAATAATGTAATCTTTCCTATAACATAGCTGCTACTAAACAAATAAATGCGCTTTACAAAGTATAGTACATTCTTATCCCAGCTGTAGCCGAGCGACCGTGATAATAACAAAGCATCTCTTCATACCGAATATGTTTACTGTACCTGGGTTAAGGGTGACAAATGTAGATTAATGCCTTGAAAAGGACATTAGTGTCGTGTCCAGTGCAAGGCGTAACTGTTTGAGAGAAAAATTACTCTTTCTGGTTTGTTGTACATTGATAAATTTTGCTTCGTGGGACCTATTTAATCATACAAATATAATTATAAGAGTAGCATTCTTTATGCCATGTTGAAACCGTCGAGGCTCATTTTTAACCATCGAGGCTCATTTTTAATGTACTTCGATGTACAGAGTGCACGAAATGAAACCTATTTTGATATTGCTGTGTTAATCTATGTAAATAATTGATGACTTATTGTCGTTCATTTATAATTGATTGATAGGTAATCATTGTTAATTGATTTGTTAATGGATCAAATGATTAGAATGCTTTCGATGTAACAGGTAAATGCCGCGATGAGTATAATTAGTCGTGCATCATCTGTATCGCTTCCATTAATATTTTAGATGCGATACGGGTCAACTTGGAAGCCTATAAACCTGGATGTATGGCCCAGTCTCTGTGTCTCTATGCTCAAGTAAGTAGATGTGAATTGTCTTTAGATGTATTTTAAGTTAATACATTCTAGTAGGCCTATGTGGCTCTATATTTATTCTCAACCTATGTCAAAAGCTATTTTAAATTTACAACGGCGTTGCTAGAGGTATCGTATGATGACCTCCCTATTCAAATATTCGTATAGTCGGCAAACACCAGATATTGGCAGATTCACAAATTAAGGCACGTTATAATCATCTTCGACGGTTTAAAAAAAATGAGAATCTTTGCTGGTATTTGGTTCCCCAAACTGGCTTTCAGTTCGACGTGTCTGCAAGTTATTTTCGATCCTCTCAAAATAGGCTATTCTGGCAATTTAGAATGGCCTTGGGTAGTAGTATTTAGATTCATGTTGTTCTGGAGATTATTTAGAGTTAAGAATTGATGCAATATTAATATTTGTATGTGATACCTTGAGTGGTATTCCAGTCACACAAACGAGACCGACGAAATACCAACAAATTGATCGAAGAGAAAAATCCCATTACTCTGAGTGGCAATGACTTTTCAGTAATCTGTTGGTTTCTGGTCAACTGGGCTCAGAGGTCGGAAGGTGTGGCTGGGTCACTGGGATGTTATCAGAATTGCATATAATATATAGCATTATATTATATATAACTATATGAAATATTTGAGGATTGGTTGATTTCATCTTTTTTTCTTCTCTCGTTGTTTTTGCCAGGGTGGGCCAGGTTATTTGTACATGTTGAAGAAGAAGGTTCTAACGACAGCTAAGCTGAAGAAAGAAAACGAGGCAGACCAAGTCAGGTATATATACAAGGGAGAAAGATTGGGTTGGGATGTGGAAGGGGTAGGGTAGGGGGTAGGGGAGGAGGATGAGATGGGAGGGGGAGAAAGGTTACGTATGGGTATTGGGGAGGGGGAGAGGATGAGCTGGGATGAAGGACCCGAGGGATATCTTAGTGGGAGGGGGAGGAGGCATTACTCGTGTCATCTTGTTTATTCATTTCGTATCCTAGGATATATCAGATGCAAAGTATTATGTTTACAATCAACAGCTCAAAATATCTTTGTGATTTCCAACGATTAATATCAGCAAATACTGTTATTTTTATGGAGCTATTAAAATTATTACAATGGATAAGTGATAAAATATTTGTTAAGAGTAATCGGTTTGTCGAAAGATTGCACTTACTTAGATTCCTGTTAGATTTTAGACACTTTATCTTTGGGCCCAGTCATTTAGGAATATATATTTCCCTGCAGAACTAGTGACGCATAGCTCCTAGATTAGTCTTGTTTTCTTGATCGATTGTCGATGTGCTGTAGTCTTCTCATATTTTCTCTTTTCTCCCGTCTTGTCTAGTCTCGTCTCTCGATTTTGTTGTTGTTGTTGTTGTGTGTGTGTACACTTTTTGTTTCTTATACCACCTTTTTCCAAATGTATTCTTAGCTAGTCACAAATATGTACTTCCATCATGTTTATCTTGTTGCTTATTTATGTACCAACCAGAGGGGACCCTAAACTTACAAGCTCTGCTTTTACCAGGGTCTCCTCGTCTTCCTTTTTGTTCATTCTGTTCATTGCCATAATTTGTTTTTGTTTTGCATTGTAAATGTGTAATGATCTAATGTAATGCTCTATGTGACATTTGAAAGAAAGGCGAATAAATATCTTATCTTATCTTATCTTATTTGGTTAGGTTTTGGAAGGAGCTTGGTAAGATGATGAGTCGGATTCATCCCGAGGACACTGTCATTCATATCATGGGCTGTAATATACTCGGAAGTGAAAGCGGTTTACAGGTAAGAAACAACCGCTAAATTTTGAACAAATATACTTTTAGATAATCAATTATATCTTTGTAAATGTTAACTCTTTTGTAATTGCGCAGAATATCGATATTCATTTCTTTCAGGTCATGATTCATTAACGTGACATTTACGTTGAATGTATTATTCGTCATAGATAACTAATGTGGGTAAATTTCTAATCTACTTTTAATGTTTTACTGTATATGGGCCTAATGAAATAACGGTCTACTAATTTTATAATACAAATAAATAATAAATTATTTTGTAAATTATGTTTTATGTCATGAGTTATAAAGGAGAGGACTCTTTGAGGAAATGTCTAATAAAACAAACATGATAGAGGTAAAACAGAAAGGAGAGAGAGAGAGAGAGAGAGAGAGAGAGAGAGAGAGAGAGAGAGAGAGGGAGAGAGAAGCATGGATCGCCTTTTGACGAACATCAGCCTACACAAAATAGGATTTCCTAGATTTCATCCAGTCTTCCGGATTTATAGAGCAAGTACATATATATTATTCAGTTCTACAGATTGTAATTTTTTTATTGAATGGTTATTTATTCTTGCAGTTGTTTGATGATCTTGAAGATCTAATGCGACCCAACTTCGTACGATTTGAATCACCTCTAGAACTTAGCCAAGAAGGTAAGAAGCCCATAAATGTCATGTATATTTATTTCTGATTTCATCCATTACAAAATGCCATTAGGCATATACATACTATCTAAGAAACATCAGAGTGGTGAAGTGTGACGTCATCAAAAATCTAATTTTAGAATTTCTCAATTTTTTCTTCATTTTCCGAAAGAGCATAAAAAATTATGTCCAAATGTCGAAAATCAATTGAATATGTTAAGTATTGACAGAGATATGACCATCTGATTAAATATACTCCCCATATGAGCTCAGTGTTATATGCTCTGGCTCCTAACCACTAGGAGCCAGAGCATATAACACTGAGTTCCCATAGGACATATATTTATTCAGATGGTCATATCTCAGCCAATATTTACATATTGAATTGGTTTTCGAAATTTGGACATTATTATTTATGCTCTTTCGGAAAATGAAGAAAAAATTGAGAAATTCTAAAAATAGATATTTATGACGTCACAGCTTCTGTACTCTATACAGGGGGGTATTTCATAAAGCTGTGCGTAAAGTTACGCATGACTTTACGAACGCCTTGGATATGAAGTGTCTAGATAGGATGCCCAAAGCTTTTCCTGATATTTCCAATAACCTCAATTAAATTATGACAAAAATTATACTTTGCATTGAAAATGTTTGTTATAATAAGAATGTTAATCTACATCTGCACAGTTCAACTTTAGTTGTTGCAGTTAAAAATGATTGAGCATCCCATTTGGCTTTTCATATATAAGTCGTTCGTTAATTCATGCGTAACTTTACGAACAGCTTTATGAAACACTCCCCATGATTTAAAAAAAATATATCATACATGATGAAAATTGATAATTATAGAGCACAGATAACAATAACAGGCCCTCACCAAAATAACATACTTTGAAATATTACTTGAGGGATATTTGCTGTTTATTGTATCTTGTGATTAGTTTTAAGAGTATTCTATCGAGCTAAGTGCTTGGTGCCATGTGGTATAGAAAACTATGATAAAAGATATAATAATAATAACATCGACTAGAATATTTAGGAGCGCTAAAAAAATAAGTAGGCCTACCATAGTGCTTACAAATACAAATATATGAAAAGAGGATAAAAAATGTACAGTCTCACAGGAGGAAGTAGATCACTGTGGGAAAAGATAAGTTTTGAGGGATCTGTTGAAGGTGGCGAAACAGGTAATTTATGATGTAATCATGGTGATTTATGTTGATTAATGTACTCTTATCAGTCTCTTTTTTAATGTAAAACATTATATCATGTCTTGTGTGGTTTTGAATAAATGAACTTGATATATAGAGTATTTAATTCACCTCCTTTCAATAAAATTTTAATTTTGTCTCTTTCTCTAGGTGCTCAGATGGTCAGCACTTATTTCAGTCCCGCCAAGTACCATCTCTGGAAGTCATCTAAGTACTCTAAATCTGAACTCATACTTCCTCCGAGCATGAAATGATGAGGGCATCATCTAACATCACTACTATGACAACGGATTCACGTCCGCGTTGTATTTGCAATAACTTATCGCAAGAGGTTGGGAGCATTCATATCCAACTATAGCCCTGAAGTATATTAATACAGTCAAACCTGTCTACAACGACCATCCAAGGGAAACGCAACAAGTGGTCTATGTAGACAGGTTCCTTTAGTGCATGTGTCAATGAGAAACCATTTTTAAGGGAGACACAAAATATGGTCCTTGTAAGTTGTAGACAGGTGGTCTTTGTAGACAGGTGGTCACTAAAGCAGGTTTAACTGTATCATAAGATAAAGTATGAACGGAATATCCTTTGAGATGCAGGCCTTCCTCACTTTCTCCTTTGCTACTTATGATGTAAAGGCCACGTGTGTGATCCTGGGCTTATCCTTCGAAGATCCTGTCGAGGCAGAGCCGGATGGTGTTCGATGACATCTCTCTACGAGGGATCCATCTGATGATAACCAGAAAAACCCAGTAGTTGCTCGACTGTCTCCTGACACTTCTCACCCGGGCCCTTTGGAACTCCATGGAACACTAAGTTGTTTCGTCTGCTCCTGTTTACCAGGTCGTCTATATTTTCTATCTCTTCTTTCTCCCTCTTCAGCCTTTTCAGCTCCACCACCATGCACACATCATCAATGCAATTAGAGCAAGCAGTGATCTTTTCTGCATTTTCATCAAGCTTCACCTTGAATTTATCGAGCTCTTAACAAGTAGCAGTTCCATTCGCTGCTTTAGATGAGAGATGCTAGGTGTTTCACATTTGAAACTTCTGCTTGAAGACTGCACTGGCGGTAGACATAACTGTTTCCTCCTTGAGTAGGTTCCATTTTTTCGAAGCCATCTCAGTATTTTTGTTCTAATTTTCAGGCGCACCAAGAGGTCTTTTGGGTCTCATCATATATCAATCAAATATTGAAAACAAGAGTCAACAAATCATCACAATTGCTTACCACCGTGACCTCTGGTTGAGTTGGGATTGGTGAAAATTCAGTGATAAAAATGAAGGCATGTTTTCATTCAATTCAGATATGGCGCTCTCCAGCCCTGAAGTATTAATATCATAAGATAAAATATGAACAAACAAGATGAAACTAAAAGGATTCATGCAATTTGTCCATCGCAAGTTAGACAATTAGACCTATTTGTTTTACAGGGTCACATTATTTTGATATCAAACTTAACTCGAGTTGTTTTGGACCAATCTTAACTAGGGGCCACAGTAAATAACAAGTGGAACACAAGCATGAAATGAATTTGCCTTCAACTCCAAGAATAAGAACGCAAAGTTATTTGAATGATATTAGATTATTTCAATAACAGTCAAGATCGCATCTACTTTGAAAATCAACTCAAGGGCGATTTAAATACCCTATTGTATATCACATAGAAATCCTATTGAGATTACCTTCGGTTTATTTTTCGAAAGGAGTTGCAATCCTGTTTAATGTAAATCATATAAGAATAGATAGGAAATGAGTGACATATACTCATCCATGCAGGCGCTTGTTTTAGATGATTTTACAGCCTTTTGAATAACCTTCTAGCAAGTGTAAATGTTTGATATCATTAGTAAGAAAGGGTCTCGTAACAAATCAAGGGTTTCTTATATAGTGGTTGTTTGGGCAAGGTGTTGCGTTGTGGTGTGTTATTAGGAACTTTTAGATTTGCACGTCGACATAGTGGACTGCTACGTGTGACATCTTTTACGGCCTTAAAAGGACGTCACACGTAGCAGTCCACTATGTCGACGTGCAAATCTAAAAGTCCCTAATGTCTGCTTAAAATGGCGAAAACAAGTTAAAAGAGTAAGTTTTCCACTCATGAAATTAAATTTAATTCGTCTACAATCGTCCGGGGAGTAGTAATTATCTAGAGTGGGTCAGTGGTGGTTTGGGGGCAATTTTATTGTTCAATACGCGGTTTCCTAGCTGGTTCAGGGGGTCTTAAAATGTTCATCTGGGGTGATGCCATATAACGTGAAAAAGAAATCTTCTTTTAAATTGATTCAATCGTTTATCTGGAGAAAATTTGATCTGTTACTCGACATATGTTTTGTTTTCATATTTATATCAACAACAGCTGTAGTTTGCAGCAGAAATGCCTGACTGAGTACATACCGAACTATTTTTGCCATTTGCAACTGTGTGCTTAGTTTTATTTGCTTTGTGCGTTTATGTAAATACAATGTATGTGTATTTATCCGCTGAAAAATGATGTCGGCTGAATGATAAATATTTTGTATAATAAATTATTGGATATGTGATATAAATTCTCCCGATGCTAGTTTTTGAGTTGTTTTGTTATCTTGTCATCATACACTTCAAATAACGAGAATACAGACAAGATAAACAGATGAGAGATGAAAAGAGAAAAGAAATAGGAGAGAAAAAGAAGAAGAAAAAAACATGCAAAAAAAAGAACAACAGAAGTGACAAGATAGGGTGAACAAAATAAAGATCATTATCATCATCATCACGAGTCACAGACATTACTTTAATGTGAGTTCCCCAAAAATCAACTTATGCCATAGGCAATTCATTTGGAAATGATAAAAAGCAGGCTATGTAAGTGATCAAGAGCGGAGTTTCATTTCGTAATCAATAAAAACGGGATTTTGCTGCTCATTTCTGGAAGAAATTAAAAGCCACTATTCTCAAAAAACACTCAACTACCATACTTCTTTTATCCTCTACTCGCAATCATACTGCAATACACTGAATGAATAAAATCATGAGTCCAATATTCGCTATACTCAAAGCAGGGCTTTTTATTGACAGAATATTCCACCTTTTCAACACTGGCAACTACACAGACAAGAAAGTGAGAAAGTTTTATATGTACTTCAGAAAGCAAACTAGTTAGTATGACAGTAGTTTCAATACACACATTGGCTATATTTCATTTGTTATTTCAATTTTTGACCTTAATATTACATTAATAATTCACTTTCTTAATACATAGCATATTTAAAGGTAAAGATGATTTAATTTATATCAGAACATTTAAGATTTGATGAATTTTTAAATGCAGGTGCTGTTATATATAGATTAAGATTAGTATTACTCACTAGCTAGTCTACTGGAATACATGAATAAACATGTACATATACCATCCAATGGTATTATTGAATACATTGACATATGAATACATTTACATATGAATAATATTACCAATTATATCATAAGATGAATACCATACTGAATACATAATAGGGAGTCGTAGATCACTGAGTGAAATAAATGGAGAAGTACTTAGAAGCCGTTCATAAATTAATGTAATGAAAAGTACATTGGTCTGTTTCAAGGTTGATTAAATCTTGTGGAAAAATTATGACTATTTACAAATGTAGAATGTGACCTTTATCATTGAGCAACAACAGGTGGTCTGTCTTTAAGAATTACTTTCATGTTACTTTAATTTACAAAGAACACTGTGAATACCACACTATCAAGACTATCAAGACTAGTAGTAGTCATGAACACCACATTCTAAATGAGTCTTTTTCTATATTTTATGCTACACACATAGAATTGCATATTTACAATGCAATGACAAGCAGTTTAAACACTCATTTCAGAATAAAGATTCATCAATTTTGCTTTTATTTTAGGGCACGCTCAAGAGTTCACTATGCATGGTGCATTAGATTACATTAATAAAAGATTATAAACATATATGATAGAATATATATTATGTCATCATAGCTTTCATAAGATGAGAATATAAAATTAAAGAGATAGAGATTACAAAGTACTATTTGGAATACATCATTTCCAATTAAATCACTCTTTGAGGAATGAAATTGAAAAAAAATGATTAGAAGAAAATATTCCTTTCTGCATAGTGAGTGGATAATGCTGAATGCAATAAGAATTATCTTAAAGTGCAATATTAAAGTCATCTAAGCAATATACATGCAGATCAACAAACCTTACATATCCTTTTTTTTTAAAGTGAACTAGTCACAGCAAGTACCTACTATTGGTCTTAAAATGTGAGAAATGACATGAGCACATCAAATAGTTTGACACAAAGAGAGTAGAAACCTAACAAACGTCAAATGTTACGATTGCATACTTGTAGAATTCCTTAATCAGTGATGTCAGAGTAGACATGATACTTATTACAAAGTCATCAACGTTATACATCATCATCATCAGACTCTTACACTAGAACATCATTAAGTATATCTAGATTTAACTTTAAATAGAGTATACTGTTGTCTTTTCCTACGATAAAGTCAACTTCACGATAAGTTCTGAATAACTTGCGTATCAGTAACAGCATCAAGTACATTACCCCTATACCTAAATACACACTGCAATTAAAACTAGTAAACATTTTATTCCCTGTATATTAATTCACTGACTAGTAAACATTTTATTTGTTTTTTGTAGTAATTCACTGACACACGATATACTTAACTACAGTACACTGCATATCCAGCAAATGACACTATCACATCACGTTATGATACTGAATAGTTGAAGTAATGGTAACTACCTAGTGACATGCCAGTGTTCTATGGTGAAAAGGTGGAATATCTAAAGAAAAAGCTAATACACTCAATCACGATATCAAGCAAGAAGACGATAGAAAGATAGAAGGAGTTTAGAAGTGCTGCCAATCTTAAACTTCATCATAGGTGTTGATGAACTTTAGCAATCTTCACCTTTCAATGTGCTTGTTCTTGCAGTAGAGCTTATTCTACTTCGCAATAGAACAGAACAGTTGAAGTATGGTGAGGTAAATGGGTACCTGGCAGGATTTAATTCCTTAAAGTGCGAGAGCGCTGTAATGGCAGCCGTGTTAAAGCCAGGGTAATAGTAATTGAGCGCCAAGAGTGGAAATGTGCCAGACAAGAGTACTCTTTAAGAGACTCTATTATTGTGTTTTTTAAATGTTATTTCCTATGATTTCATATGATGAAAGCTTGTATACAGCCACCATTCAATATTGGTTTTCCAAGATATTAAAAACATGAGAATATTGAAACTAGTATTGCAGACTTCTAAAACTCCTTTAATAACTTGGTTTGTTTTATAGCTTAGCGCTCGATAGTTGCATGCTTTGTAAAGAGTTTATTATCATTAAACATTCATGGATTTAAAACTAAAAGAAGAAATGAAGTCATATTGCCAGATTATATCTCCCCCCACACCACGATCCTAGCCTATCTTCCATGAAGCAGTAGGCTAAGCTCTGGAAGGTGGATCTTTCTAATTCTGGAACATGTTGTTGGTGAATTTGCCGTAATCGAGGGCATGGGGTACCTCTCGTCCCTTGGCGTCGCGGTACGGTTCCATACGCAGGATACAATACTCTGCCAAGTCGGTTTGGAGATTCTGCAGGATGAAGAAAAGAAGCAAGAAAACAATTAATGGCTGAATTCATCAATCTACTTCATTCATTCATCGTAAGAATAACTGCTGATAATAGTAGCAGAAGTGATCTCAAAGTTAACTGACCCTGCATCCAAGTTACGTCCATCAGGATGAGAACAAAAACTTTAAATAAGAGTTGTAACTACTTCGACTAATTGTCCATTCTATCTGAATGATAAAACAAAGTAGTATAGAATAACTCCAATGTAACATGACTTTAGGATTAACAAAGTCTCTTGTCCATAATCCCTCAGAGAGGACCTAAAGCTGTTGGTCCTCTGGCCGCTTACTAACAGGCATTTATGCTTTCTTAGCAGTCAGGTAAATAACCAATACTACTACTACTACTAATCTTAAATATTACTTGGGGCAGTGCTTGCTACTTACGGCATAGAGTTCTTGCTTGGTAACGTAGGGCTTGCCCTCGGCACTGAGCGCCCGGAAAGCATTCTCAATCTCGTCCTTAGATTGAACATTCTCCGTCTCTCGACTGATCATGAACGACATGTACTCCTGGAGACTTACAAAGCCATCACTGTCAAGGAGAAAGAAGAAAAAAACAGGAATTCTTGAGTATTTGTGGTTGTTACAGGATTGATAATGATACCATAAATATCAAACATTCATCCATATATCATATAGTCTCTTTGCTGTTAAAGATCACATCCAGATTTTCGTGCCAGTAACAGCTGAAGAATATTGCTCTAGTATTTGTTTCCTGTACCAAAGTCATCATGTTACTTCATGCAATTAGAATCTGTTTCCCAACAAAAAGCTCTGCATTTAACACTGAACTTAACAAATTTGAGTAAACAAGTTAAGCAAATATTTATTCAGGGAAGGCCATTTGTTTTGAAATGCACCTCATCCCAAATCAACTCAATGTATGATGCTACAGCTGTCAAAAGGACAACCATAGCTTCTATTCTATTCTATCCTACAGAAAACAAAAGCGAACACTGGGCTGATGACTTCCACAAACTCCCCTCTAGGGTTAATTTAAAGCATATCCTGGGGGTGTTTCATAAAGCTGTGCGTAAAGTTAGGCATGACTTTACGAATGACTTGAATATAATGAGCTAAATGGGATTTTCAAATCCTTTTATTGCATAAGCTAAAGTTTAAATATGCATACGTAGATTAACCTCATCATTATTAACAAAATATATCAATGCGAAGTGTATTTTTGGCTACAATTTAATTGAGATAATAGGAAATACAGTCACATTTTGTTAAAATGTCAGGAAAAACTTTGGGCATTCCATTTGGCTCTTCATATTCAAATCACTTGTAAAGTCATTCGTAACTTTACGCACAGCTTCATGAAACACCACATCCTCGGTGCATCATGTTAGGAGACTCACCGGTTAGGATCAACGACGTCGAGTATAGAGAGGAAGACTGGTTCATCCTGGCCTTCTTCCACCATGGGTAGATCATAACCCAAGGATCTCAGACAAGACTTGAACTCGGTATGGTCCAGCTTGCCAGACTTGTCCTTGTCGAAATGCCTACAAGGTAATAAACAGATAACAAGCATGAGTTCATTGCTTACGATTCACACATTGAGCAATGCTATTCCTTACTACTTCACATAGCATACTATCCCTCACAGTGTAAACTCCCTTTTTTCAATTAACAGGAGCCATTTTGTGGATTACTGTAAGAAATGTGCATCTTATTGCAACAACATTCATGTATTTTATGTTTATACAGGCACATTTTCCTCCAGGACTCTTACCAAAGCTAAATAGCTCACTAATTTCACGTATTTTGTTCACTGTTCCAACATTGTCAGAAATGAACAAAATGGAACAGTATATCTCGTATTCACAATAATGATGTCAAAAAAAGTACATTCAATCTCTCACCCTGAAGTATATTTTAAAGTAAGAACATGCACAAACTAAATGCGTTAATGATATAGTCCTATTTTCTTGAATGTTAAGCCTCATGATTTCTTTCAAATGCTACTTCTTAAGCCAGTAAAGCAATGAGAGGACAGACTTACTTGAACATCATGCTGAATTCTTTGAGTGATTCTTCACTGACTCCTGTAGTGTTCCTAGCCTGGATCTGTTGTTCTAGGTTGTGTGTCATACGCATACCAAGCTGGTCCAGCTGGTCCCATTGCTGGGCTAGTCCAACGGTTGAATGCTCGGTGTAACTAAACAGCAAGAAAACACAAGAGATAACACTTATTATAACATGGATTCATATCCCACTGCTGCCACCATGTCAGTAATGAAAGAGTCACCAATCATTTCTATGGCACCATTCACTCACATGGATTCATATCCTACTGCTGCCACCATGCCAGTAATGAAAGAGTCACCAATCATTTTTATGGCATCATTCACTAACACTTATTATAACAAGGGTTCTAAAATGTAGGTAATCTAACTGGTAACGGCACAATGAGCTGGATAATGAACAAAGAAAAAACCCTTTTTTATTATCTGTTGTGACTTGAGCACTTGCATTAATGCACTTGGAAACATTGATCATATGTATATTAGTATCAATAGAAAAAATATTCTATCACGATGATAATATCTACGTGTATGTGGACCACTTCTCTTACCACGTATGGTGCAGACTTTTGAACATCCCAAAATATCGCTTAAACATCTAGCCCACTATGGTTTTAGACCACTCACTTTGATAAGTACAATGGTAAAGATGTTATCGAAACAGGACTTGCAGTGATATTGAAAGAAAATCAGTCATAACGCTAAATAGTGACATAAATTCTTAGGAATTGCAAAGAAGTATTACGTAATGATGGAAGACACAATGAGGTAACATCATACCACTAACTATCCTACTTCTTCTTATTCTTCAAACCAAAGCACTTTGATCTTACCGATTGTCCAGGATGAGACGTTCCTCCATCTTAGCTCCTAGATCCTCTATCTTCTTGAGCGTACTCTTCTGAGCGCGTACTTCATTGATCTTAGCCTACACAGAGATAAAACGGTAGATTAGTTTCGTTCAACATCCGATTCAAATTCAACCCGCAGTATTTCCTTTCTCAGTCGTTGAGTCACCAGAACTTTTGTTCTAGCAGAACTGGGGTAATATTAGAGCACCTTGCTATAAAACAACCATTATTATCATTTATTATTAACTCATCGTGAACATTGCAAGCATATAAACATGTCATCTCCTATAGAGATTGAGATAGAGATTAATAACTTGAAACTTATACCAAATTCGTTAAAAAAGTATCTTTAAATAACTTGTAGAAAACAGCTAAGCAGTAAAAACATGTAAAACTGTAAACATTACTGTGTATAAAGTCAAATGATGTACGTTGATAGATATAAAATGCCCTCATACTTCCAACCCAGATTCTCAAAGTCATACTGATATCGATTTACCACACCAGTCAACATGGTTGGTTGTGAAGCTATGAAAATTCAATTTCTGGGATTACTACCAATCAGATGAACCTCTTCAAGGAGCCAGTCAATATTGTTTTATAATATACAATGCATCAGTGTAATAAGTCCCCCCCCCCCCCCCCCCCCTGTTGCTCATGTCACCATACCTTGAGGCATTCCAGCTGGGTCTCCAAGTTTCCAGATTCCTCCACCATAGCAGCCCTGTAAAACAAAGGATGAGATAGTCATAAGATGGGTTCATACACCAGTCTGTTCAGTATGTCATTCACATGCCATTGCAGACCTGTGCATATTATCACATGCAGTCAAATTCATTCACCATCTGTATGCCTCGATTTCAGTACAAATAATATACATGTAGTATAAATAATGCATGTAATTCTACATTTGTGTTTATTAGTTCCTAAAATAAAATTTATCAAATGCAATGAATGCTATTGCTAGCTCTCATCACAAAAAAAGTGATTATGTTTATATCTACTTTAAGCATGTTCAATATATCACTAAGCACAGTAATTTGCTTAATATTGTCAATTCTTGATCATATATCACAATCCTTTGCTATTTTTGTTTCTATTTACGATGCACTTGTAAAGAAAAGTAGGCATACAGAAACAGAAATCAAATAAAACAGCTGTTAGCAAATCCAAGTTGAATCAACCTTTGGTTAAAACCAAACCAAAACAAAGACAACATTTGAAGAGATAATGATGTGAATGAGTTAGTTAGATTCATCTGTAACTGTAACAAGAAACAAAATAACAAAAAAAATGCATTCTGAACCAAACCAAATATCTGTGGCATTGATGATTAAGAGTACTCGCAGGAGGGAATTAATGTATAATCAACACCGAATGACAATGTTAATGTGGACCTACTAGCTAAGCTCTGGTACCAGCTATAAATGAATATTATACACATTAGTCATGTTAGATGTGGGTGATCCATACGATTGATTGATCAGTTGCCATGGTTATTCTCAGCATCACAGGCGATTGATCCCTAAAGTACAAAGTGACAGAGTTAGTTGTGTATTAATGGTTGTTATCTCAGGCAGGCAGACAGGCAAGGTTCTGTAGTGTTTTAGAGTAGGACGTCTGTAGAGTTAGAGACACGAGGAGGAAATGAAACATTTGGTGGGGAACAAATTGTGCACTATCATTCATCTATGCACATGCAGGCAGGATATTTGCAAACAAAATACTAAAAGCAGTTAAAATCCAAAGCAAAAATATAATAACAAGAAGAAGGGGACACAGGAGGCTTTAATGTAGCTGAAACCTAGGAAAGAGGAAGCTGAAATGCAATTGGAATGCAACTGAAATACAACTTAAAAATAATTTCACAAAAGCAATAAACAAACAGCATGGGGAACTACGATTTAAGAATAAAGGTCTGATACTATATGGCTCTTATTAAGCAGGTAGAATTGGATAAAAAAACAAATATTCTTATGTCAAAAAGGATCTGCATGCAGGTCGTGCTTTAGTACAGAATCTCTAAACATAATTGTGAAAACAAAGATCTAGGATTTCAGGGCAGGTATTCAACAAGCATGTCATCCAGTGTCACACTGTACCAGCAAAATCTAAACTGAAATGGGATCAAAACTAACCAAATTTGAATCTAAGAACAGAGATATCCAAGCTGTCTATGTTATTTCATTTTAATGGCTGGAAAATCTAAGGTGTTAACTACATTTTACTCAGTGAACTCATTTAGCGATCAGAATACGTTCAGTTTTCAATCGAACAAAACATGTCAAAGGAGTGAACTTTTTAACTTTCAAACATGCAAGAGATGAGATTGAACTAACTTAATGCTCAAATCCTAAGGTGGGAATGCCATAAAACAAATGTAAATTGGACATCAAACTCCTAACGACTAGGTTAAGAAAGCTGGACATTAAAGCATGTTGTTAAAGCCCCACTGTATGCCGTTCACATTAGGTTCCAAGAAATGAATGATTATCATCTACCATAAGGAGGGGAACAAATCAAGTAACCTAGAGTCTTATCTAAGAAACAAAGGACAGGCTTGGTGCAAAACAAGATGCAAGAACGGTGCAAAAGATTTGGAGGGAAAGATATTAACCGCCCAAAGATGATTTCCTTGCTGCAGTTTGTATTGTTTTGAGAGAATCCCGGAAGAGAAGAGAAGAGAGACGATGATCGTAGATATTAAGAGCAAAACCCACCACCACCATGAGATGAGAGAGAACAAAGTGAAATGTTATCATTGAATGAAAAGAAGACTTGAAATCAAAAGACATTTACTTGATGATAACAAAAGATCATTTGAAATTATTCATAGAAAAATAAAATCAAAATCACAATTCTTTCACATTGAACAAAAGGCTACAAGTAAAACATAATGCTGATAAATAAAACAATATACTTACATCCATTTTTCATAAAAAGAAACATTTGAAGAGATTGCACATGAATCAGTTTGTGCAAAGAAAATAACTGCATGTATTTTAATATGATACTGCTAATAAACACTTTGGAGGGAAATTCATACATGTCAAAATATAAAAAGAATATGGGGATGACTAAATCTGTATTGCCCTGGTAGACAGGTGATAAGAATGAGATATGTTACATGCATACCTTGTCTCTGTGATCCATTGATAGAAGGAGTTAGCTTGTTGAGCAAAGCGTTTCCTGAGCTTATCGTTCTCCTCTTGTCTCTCCATCTCACGGTTGAGCTCCACCTCTCGTTCCTTGATGATCTTCTGAAGGTTCCTCCATGTCTCCTCGAGAGCCTCCATCGTAAACCAAGTATACCTACAAAAAACATCGAAATGGAAAGAGAAAAACTGAAATTGTCCTGTAAACACAAAACAATAGTCTCATAGAGATTTGCTGTTATGGGTTAAAATAGGACATGAAATTCATACTGCAAATATATCAATGGTTAAAGCTATATGTGCAGTATGAGCATTCACTAAAAATTTAAGTGTAACTTTGAAATAAAATATCAATGTTTCTATTAAAGTGAGTCTGTCTAAATAGTACAAAAGCAATGTAATACTGATTAAAAAGTGGTAGGATGGCTGGTTGTATTTTTGGGCACTTAAGCTGTTATATTTGCTGTTATATTTGACCGAAAGTTTACATCAAGGAAGACTAGTAATTACAGTGTATCTTCACCATCCATACACATACTTTTTATATAAAAAAGACTATTGAACTCTTGCATGCAAATTAGATTTATTTACTATTGACATGATCTGTCCAAATAACCAACCTGTGCGGATAAATAAATATCAGTGTATGTGTCTTTCATATGATCAAATCCTGAGAGTACTTACGGGTTGGATGAGACATTGTAGCTTTTGATCTGCTTGTCGAGTGCTGCTAGTTGTTTCAGGTCATTCTGTGCACTGCTGAGGGACGCAGTGAAGGCTTCGTGAGCTTCCTTCAAAGCCTGAATCTCCTCGACCGAGTTACATCGGACCGGGTCAGTCAGGTCCTCCTCTGCATTCTCAAACCACGAGTTGAAAGCAGAAGCCTTCTTAGCGAAGAGCAGGAAGAGATCCTCCACTTCACGGTACTGCTCCTGGGCGCGCAAGAGACGTTGACGTCGGTTGTTGGAGTCCGAGAGGAGCTTCTCCCATCGGGCGATCAGGTTGGCATGACGTTGTTGGATGGCTGGTGTTTGGGCGTGGTTAGCTGTGACCAGTTTGATCTTGAGAGTGGTGATGGCATGGATACCTTCCTTCTCAAAGGCATTAAGACCAGCATCAAAGGTCTCTTGTTTGGTAAGAAGAGTCTGGACGGTTGAAAGGTCACGACCGTAATCATCAGAGCGAGCAAAGCTCTCCTTCTCACCAATCCAGGACTCGACAACATCAGCCTTCCAGATGAACTGCAGGAAAGCAGAATTGTCATCTAGATTGGCTTTGCGGCGGGCAGCAGCCTCTTGCAGCTCCTGGAGCTTGCGCTGGAGTGACTCATTACGTTGGGAGATGGCCTCAGAGTTGTGGTTGCCAGCTTCAATGAGCGTTTCTCCTTGGGCCTTGATGTCAGTGACCCTATCACGATGGACAGTGAAGTCCGTCTCAAAGGCCTTGTGCTTCTTGAGAAGACCTTGAACAGCTGCAAGGGTATCGCCATAGTCCTCACTGCACAGGAGGCTCATCCTCTCATTGAACCAGGCTTCTTCCTCCTCAATGCCTGCAAGGAACTCTTGGTAGGTTAAAGATTCATCCAGCTTACTGCCACGGTTGTTAGCCAGCTGCTTTAGCTCTTCCCAGTTACTGGCAAGTTGATCCAAGCGTTGCTGGACTCCTTCTTGGTTGAGAGCAACATCCTGCATCAAGGATTGGCCTGCATCTTGGACAGCCTGGATGGCAGGCTCATGGCTGACAATCTCTGTCTCCAGTCGCTTGTGCTTCTTGCGTAGATTCTGCACGCCTGTCAGTTCACGGCCGTAGTCATCGGAGCTAGTCAAAAGGCTCTTCTCCTTGATCCACGACTCTTCATCATCAATATCGCGGAAGAACTGATAGACGCGGTGTGATTCGTTCAGCTTTCCGCGACGGTCGACAGTCAGGTCCTTGATGCGCTCATACCTCTGGTTGATGTTCTCCTTGGTCTGACGCATGTTTTCAGGATCAAAGTGGCCAGCCTCGATGAAGGAATCTGCCTGTTTGTTGAGGACCTGGATCCGGTCTTCATGGGCAGCGATGTCATCCTCCAGGAGCTGGTGCTTCTTAATCAGGTTGGTAACGGATGCCAAATCACGACCAACATCCTCAGAAGCCAAGGCATTCTCCATCTCACCAAGCCAGAAGTTGATGTCTTTGACACTGATGTGGAAGGTCTGTTGCTTGTTGGCTTCCTTCAGCTTCAGAGATTTCTCGGCTGATCGTTGGACGAGGTACTCCCACTGATCACCGATGCCTACGATGCGTGCCTGTACAGCATCCTCAGTACCTCCACACTGGTTGGCATCAATCAATCCTGAAAAATAATATTTAACAAGTTAAAAAAATTACCATATTCACAATACCTAGTCAGCGCTGTCTTCAGCTACACATGAATACACATGACAGCAAAGAATCACAGAGCAGTGTTTTCTGCTTAACAAACAATTATGAAAACTATAGGAAGTACAAACAGAAAGAATTATGAATTATATAAATACTTACTTAACTCTATTTGATTCACACTGACATCAACAAACAATCACAAATCACAAGCAGAGCATTCTTGTAGCAAACACACACATGAACGATCCCTTAAAACGCTAGGGAGTTTTAGTCTGTCTGGCTAGCAGGGCAGGGCATGGCAGGGTAGAAGGGAGAGGATATGACTGATTATAGCGCTAGAAGCTCCTAGTTGAACACTTCCTCATGACAAGCCATGATTCATACTCAACAACACTTTCTTTTGCATTTTCACCAAGTTTATATAGATACTTCAGCATGGTTTTTGGCATATTTGTCCAAATTATGACTTGAATAGACAGCAGCATGAGAGGAACTATGTTATCTTGAGTTACCCTTGCGATTCACTCACAGAGGATGTTACCATGTCAATTAACTTGATGTGATGCCTTCCCCTAAAAAAAAGTTGACTATAATTAATCATTTGTTCTATCATTGATTAATTTATATTTGATTGTTTTTGTTGTTTCACTCTTGGTATTTGTAATTTGTGTGGGTTTGTATTAAGGGTCATCCTTACAAGCAACTTGGATTTTTCTACTGGTCCATACTATGCTCCAAATGTTTCTTGTGTTATTACTTCATGTTTTCATGATTATGGTTAAATAAAATATCTTGAATCTTCAATCTTGTTGAATGTTAAATTACATAAATGAGTGGATAACAGGGACGTGGGCATAAAAAGAGGGCAGTGTAGTTGTATGTAGAACAGAGCCATCTATATACAGAGTTCGGCCAACTTGGTTTCACTGGGTCACAACATGGCGTATATTCTTTTGTTTTGTGCTTGCCCAACAAAGCAGTAGTCACCATATTGTGTCCAACTCGAACCGGGTTGGCCAAACTCTGTGTATAGATGGCTCTGATGTAGAAGAATGTGACTTACTCTGTCCGACGGCCATGATTGCTTGTATCCTCTCAGCATTAGCAGCGACCTCGGCCTCAAAGGCTTGATGTTTCTGATGCTTGCTCTGGATGTTGCTTGGGTCAAGGTAAGATTCATCGGTAGCGACCTGGATCTTCTCAGAGATCCATGCTTCTACTTCATCAGCATCTCGGCTGAACTGCTGAAGGGTGTGGGATTCACCAAGCTTGGAACGCTTCTCAATCAGAGCGTCCTTCAGCGAATGCCAGCTGCAATACACCATCACAAAAGAAAGGGGGTAACATTTATTTATTTGTCTCTACTTCAAACTTTACACAAACATATGATATTCTGGAGTGATTACTTGGAATGCAATACCTACTGATATAAAAATGTGCCCATCTCTTGCCTCATTCGAACGAAAATACAAACATCATTTAATGAAGGAATGAAGGAATCTTATGTTTAATTAGCGTGTACACCCTTGTTTATGTACTACCCACTCTTTCTTTTCTCTTTACTTTGTATAATTATCTGCGGCCATTGGAGCCCAGCCTTTGAAAGGCCAATGGCCTCTGCTGGCTCCTCCATATTCCTTGTATTGTTTATATATTTGCTTATATGTATAATGCACATCAGTAGAAGTACATACAATAAAAATTTAAAAATGGGTTCTGGATAGAGAAAATTACCAGGAAGCCAAGGATCTAAACATGACCTACCGTTCCAAGACCTGGTCTCGTTTGGTACCGATGGCAGGTCCATCGTAGTGGTCATTGCTGACCAGCTGTTCAGCAAAGGAATTGATGGCATTGATCTTCTGTTCCTGAATGGACAGAGCCTTATCAAAGTCTTCATGTTTCTTGATGAGTGATTCTACGCTGTCCAGTGAGTCGGTCAACCCTTCACTGGCCAGGAACGCTTCCCTTGCACCCATCCATGCCTCGGCTTGCTCACAATCACGCAGGAATAACTAGACACCAAAACAGAAAGAATAGGATGTTAGTTGGATCCACACTAAAAAGCTACTTGTATTTCATGTATTGTATATTAACTGAAATTGGTAATTTAGCATTTCTTTTAGAAAATTTACAATCTGGACTTTCAAATTTTACTTCATTTGAAACTGAACTCAATCACTTACATTCCTCTTGCACTTACCCCCCCCCCCCACCCCCTCTCTTCCTCTCTCTCTCTCTCTCTCTCTCTCTCCCTCTCTTTCTGTTTTCTTCTTCCTGTTTTCCTTTATTTAGTGTGTAATGTTTATGTTATTTTTTTGGAAAGCATAGTTTGTTTTTTGTAGGTTCCCAAGAATAAGTATAATATGAAACTTATCTACATGAATCATTTTAAAGTGTCTTAATAATCACAGTAAAATAGATGTAATATAAAAGCATATTTTCATAAACCATAAACCAATACTAACCTGTAGCTCCAAGCATTGGTCAAGCTTGTGTCTGCGGTCATTCCATGACCTTTATGAGAAATACAAAATAAAAGTAGGGAAAAATAAATAATCCACATGGCTGAAATATATATGAAGTACAGACTCTTGGTTAAAAAAGAGTTAACTGATACATGTGCAATGCAAATTCTGAACCTTGTAAGGTGTCTGAAACATTTGTAATACAAACAAAGCTGATGAAATGACTGGATGTATTACAAATCAATATAGAGTACATATAATTTGGGGGAGATTTATCTTGACAAACAGGTTTTTATAACTTCCCTTTTTCCATTATTGTTTAATATTTTAATGTACTTATGTATATTCTGGTGAAAGATTTTTATGTTATTTACAGTACTATTTGCAAATGTATGTGTTCTTGTAAAATGATTTTTTATGGAAATGAATAAACTAAACTGAACTGATATTAAATATTCATGATAGTATGGTAGTACTAGTAGTATGATAAATTCAAGCTATCTGTGAGACTTACACTTCAAGGTCTTCTCGTTCCTTGACGAGGATGTCTAGTTTCTCTTGGACCTCTGGAGCAGCGTAGTGGTCATTCTTGATCAACTCTTGACCGAAGGCTTCAAAAGCTTGGAATGTTCCAGCCTTGGCCTCCATCTCAGTGTGAAGTTCCTAAAATCAAAATATTAAAATTCTCAACATTGAAAGACCTTAACATACAGTGAAAATAGCATTTGTCTTCCCACTGAAAGTTTGACAAATGACATGGACCAGTATTTAGTAGAAAAAGCTAAAGCACTATCTTATTCAACAATGAAGAACAAATAAAACAAGTGGTTTATAATTAGCTCGCAAGAGTTAATCTCTATTCCTTCATATATTGTTTGATATCAAGAATTCATTCCAGCTTTAAAACTGGAGACATCATCTTCACTTCTGGGCTCTGTCTTATAACGAGTTGCTATTGATCTGAATCAATCGTAAGTCCTCCAATCAATCGCAAATTTGCAGTCCCCTTTCATAGTACATAGTTGCCATTGATATCAATAGCAAATAAGTTGCGATTAATCGCAATTGTTTATAAGACATGGCCCAGAGATGAATACTGATGCATGACTTGATCTTCTTTTGCTTGCTAAGTTGATCATTATTATAATTTCTTTGTTTGCTAACCTGATGGCGCTCTAGCAGAGCCTCTGCTCCAGTCACATCCTTAGCGAGCTCGTCACTGGCAACCAATGTCTTCATACCATTGGTCCACGACATGAGATCACGGAAGTCACTCAAGAAACGTTGCAGGTCGTATGAGTCCATCAGCTTGTCCTTGCGGGCATTGGCCTGTCAGCAAAACATTCAAACCAGAGTCATTATCTTTCTAATGAGAGCTTGGACTTAAATTGTGAATTGTTACTGATGCCATTGGTCTGAGATTGCATAATTTTTCTTTCCCATAAACAAAACTACCAAAATGTTAGTTATCATAGTTAACCTTTTAAACGCTGTAAAATATAAATACATTTACGTCTGCTTGTGTTCAAAGTCAATAGGTTTGGCCTCTTGTTTTCATGTTTCATTTTCTAACTAGGACTTATTACTTCAATCTCCTCTAGTTGCCATTGCAGATTTCAGTATAATTTTTCAAATAATGCACCGTTCCTAATCCCTTCATAAGACAGGAGATACACTCAAACCCATTCTGGAAAAAGGAATAGTCCTAATCATATGGGATGCCATGTGCATGGGTCCTTCCATTATAACCAAACTAGGGGTTTCAGCTTACCCTATCTTGGAGGGTGTTCCATGCTTCATCAATCTCTGCTCTCTTAGCAACGATTGGTTCCTCTTGATCGGGATGGGTCTGTACCAGTCGGTCAGCAGTCTCATCAAGAGTTTGAACCTGAGGGATACAGACATTAGAGTAAAATATGTACCTCATCATACTTTAAAATGAAACTGATCACAAGATAATTGAATAAGAAGCTATATTTCTTTAATTTGCACTTGCCAAGATACAAGCTTAAGTTTGATTTGTTTTCAAGTTGTTTTAATAACATCATTAGGGCGCCTTAGTTTTGGCAGTAGAGGCAGTTGTTTCCTGCAAATGTAATCCATTTTGAGAAGTAGAGTACAATGTTACTTCTCAAAGTGGCTTCACAGGGGTGTCACTGATTTACTGAACAAAATAATACTTTTTTTTTACAGATGAATCTGAAAAAGGATTATAATTACACAATTCCAAAGCTCAATGAATAGTCTGACTAAAGCATAGCTACATGTGATTATTTGAAGATTCGCATTATGTGTAATGGTCCCTCTTATATAATTCATCAGTGGTTATCAAGAATAATTACAGCTTGAAAAAGTGGAAGATGTTACCTGCTTGCCCAAAGCATTGAGATCCCTCTCCAGGCCTTGATGCTTACGCTGTAGAGCCTGAACGCTGTGCAGGTCATGACCAAAGTTCTCTGTGTTTAGAGCCTTGTTCTTATCATCAATCCAATCCTTGGTTTCATCAGCATCCCTGAAATAGAAGGAGGATAAGACGATGTCAAGATCATCCCAAAAATATATAAGGAGGACTTTACTGATTAGCTTAATTCTTTCCAGGGCCCTGTTGCACAAAACTTACCATTGATGGTAACTTTGCAATCAATGGTAACTTTGCAATCAATGTTAACTTTGCAATCAATGGTAACTTTGCAATCAATGGTAACTTTGCAATCAATGGTAACTTTGCAATCAATGTTAACTTTGCAATCAATGGTAACTTTGCAATCAATGGTAACTTTGCAATCAATGGTAACTTTGCAATCAATGTTAACTTTGCAATCAATGGTAACTTTGCAATCAATGGTAACTTTGCAATCAATGGTAACTACCATGGAAACCTTCATTTTGATTGGCTGTTGAGCCTAGTTGCCATGCTCGGTGCCATTGATGGCAAAGTTACCATCAATGGTAAGTTAAGTTTTATGCAACGGGCCCATATCATGACATAAATGCAATTCATAAAACTGAGACCCTAGAGGAGAATGTATATACTGTATGCATTAGGGGACCCAAGCTCTTGTAAATACCGATAAACATCAATCCTAAATCACACTGTCCCTTCACCAACAGTTCGAGACCATCTTTTAAAACTTTCAAGACTTATTTTGGATTCACCAATTCTCCTTTATTGATGTGTAATCAAATAGCTGTCATATCAAACAACAACTCTACACGAATGAAAACTGGAATTCATAATTTCTGGCAACCATCTAAGTCCTCAGTTTGGTGATGCCTGTAAAGGACCGTTGAGTATGCATACCTGAAGAACCTCTGTACTTCATGGGCAGTGCCAAGACTTGCACTACGCTCATCGGTCATCTTCTGCAGTCCTTGCCATTCGGTGTTCAAATCCTTTACAATAATAATGTGAAGAAAAGGTTATAAATTACAATACTTTCATATAGTTAAAAGAGCATTCTCACTGTCCCTGGTACTGCTAATCCCTCAGCTACCTTTGATTAGATATCAATAAATATACAATTTGCATGATTTATAATCTGGATTGTAAAAATTTAAGTACAGGGTTTTTATTCCCTCAAATGATCTGTAATTACAAGATAAGCAAGAGAAGATGTAATTTTTCTATGATTTAAAGAATAAGTAAATGAAATTTATTTCTTTATGAAACACATGATATTTTCCACAGGAAAAGCTAGTCTAGGTAAGGATAGGGAGAGTAACTCTTATTGAATTTTTGAACAATGTCAGCTTAAGTTATAAATTTATGTCTACATCTACGGAGGGAAAGAGAGGAAATGAGAGGAATGAACAAGATGGACTGTGATGGTTACTTACATTGACTTTCTGGACAACGATGTCTGCCTCAGGTACCTTCTCAAGATCCAGGGTTTCCAGGATCATGTTGATCTCAAGGAGACGAGACTCATTGGCTTTCAGATCCTGAGGGGAGTAATTAGATGATGTGGAGATAGAGAGGGAGGGAGAGGGGGAGGGGGAGAGGGAGAGAGAGGGAGAGAGGGAGAGAGAGAGGGAGAGAGAGAGGGAGAGAGAGGGAGAGAGTGATAGAGAGAGAGAGAGAGGGAGGGAGGGAGGGAGAGGGAGAGGGAGAGGGAGAGATGATAGAAACAAAAGGATGGGCAAAGACAAACAGAGAGAGATGAGAAGATAGAGAAAGACAAAGGAAAACAGACCAAAAAATAAATAAAAAGAGAAGGAAAAAAAAGAGAATGAGAGAGGGACAAACACAGGATATGAAAATGTGTCAGTATTGTAATGATTTATGTTCAGTATTCCATTGAAAAAGATTTTCTTTAAAATCAAATCAAATCCTCACACACTGCTGATTTTCTTTAAAATCAAATCAAATCCTCACACACTGCTGATTTTCACAAATCAACCTAACGTGAATTCAACTTACTTTCTATATTTCTTACTCTATTTTAAACAACTCCATTCGATTACCTCAAATGCTGATAATTTTTAAGTCGTAATGGTAAAGAAATAATTGAAATATTGCCCATAATCACATAACTGTTAATATGCATGTGTATATCCTTATTCACAAAGGAATCAATGTTTAATGATGACGGTCAAAACAAAAGCTACATTTTATCTCTTCATGTATCTACTTCTCCCATGTTAAGATGCAGATGTGCAATGATATCGAGTGGACAACAAACCAAATTGATCTACTTACATTGTATCTACTTTGTGTGTTACAAATAATTAGATGTTTGTTGGTCATTTCAATGATTCTAAAAAAATTAATGGGAGCCTATCTCACCAAATAAAACCTGCTACAGACAGATGATATTAATCTTTATTAATCTAGAGGGGTTACCAATTTACAAAAAAATGTACTAATTATACTTTATTATAACAAGAGTTTTTATATTGTGGTAAATTCTATGATGAATGAAATTTGTATAAGTGCTGTATCATGAATTAATTAGCACTAAGAACTAATATCAAACAATATACACTGCATACAATGATTTATGAATATAGACTGCAATGTTGCAGCCCACTCATATTACACAGTTAAGTACTACAGGGTCCCGTCTTTACAAAGAGTTGATATTAATCACAACTATGAACACAAGAGATAGGATACTGCAAACTTGCGATTGATTTGGATCAATCGCAACTCTTTGTAAGACAGGGCCTCAATGTCTATTCCTATTGGTTTCCCTATCTGTTTCTATTTGTTGACAATGCTACAATCACATGAACACTTATATGCTGCCATTTTTTAAAGATATATATATATATATATATATTTATTTAATAATTTTTTTTCTTCACACAACCAACAATGTAAATGTTCATCTATAGGTTATCTACAAATGTTAACATTGCCATTTTGGTCTTGATGACTACACAGAAATCTATGCGTGGGGCTACATGATTGATATACAACCAAAGACCTACCTGTATAAACCTATTATGCTTGCCAGTCATGATCTGAAACTATACATATGCACAGTGCAGCAGAAACATCATTTTAAATGCACTCTATTCAAAGTTAACAATTAGTAAATAAAATCATGTCAGCTCTTGCTGAGTGCTCCTATGTATATAAATAGTTTCAAAAAACCACTTTGGAGAATGTCCTTTAAAATTCCATCAGTGAACAGCTTGCTTAATCGGACATGGCATGAAATGTCCTCAGTCAAAGTATGTCTAGTTGTTTAATTTGAAGCATTTTACATTATCATTAAATCAGTTTACAGTTATAACTTGCTTACTGCAACTAGTGCACCGAGTCTTATGTTTTGATTGCCAAGTAGAGAGTTGGTATAACTTCATCAGGTGTAGGTTCGCTTTAATTCAGTTTGTAAGCTAGTAACTTATAACGAATTGTATACATTTCCTTTCAAATTACTATCAATTAAAATCTGCAGTCTACCATCAGTATGGAAAATTAAAAACCTAATTTACACATTTATACAGTCAAAACCTGCTCTGATGACGTGTCTACAAAGACCGCATTTTTTGTTTCCCTTAAAAATGATTTCTCATTAAAACATGTACTAAAGGAGCCTGTCTACAAAGACCACCTTTTGTGTATCCCTTGGGCGGTCGCTACAGACAGGTTCGACTGTATTTGAATTGAGAAGATTTGGTAGCAATGACAGGGGGGCGTTTCACAAAACTTGTCATCAGTGACAAATGACAGTTTTTGTTATAAGCTACTGAAATCCTTGCTTCTGATTGGTTATCAGCAGATTTGTCACTGATTTTTGTCATTTGTCATTGAAAAAAGGCTTTGTGAAACGGGTCCCAGGATAGGGCAAAGTGGATTTAAGTTACCTTTTGGAAGTCATCAAACTTCTTCTGGTAGACTTCGACCTGTTCCAAGTCATCTCCTACCTCAGCACTCTCCACTACATTAGCCTGCAAACCAAGAGAAGAAACATCCAAGATGAGAAACATAAAAAATAACAAACATCCAAGAATTTCAAACTCATCAACTTGATGGGTAAACTTTCAGTAATGCACATATAATAATAATAGGTCCATTTATAGCGCAGCTGCTTTATGAAAATACTATACTGCACTTAAAGATAAAGTTGAGTTCTGGTTATGTGATTGCATTGTGAAAGAAACGGCGTGGAATCCATCAGAAAAGGTTGATCATCTAGTATATAAGTATTTGTGTGTATTGCAAGGTTCTGGAATCATCAAAATGATAAGAAATTTGGCCAAATCTTGGCAAAGTTACAAGCACTGTACACAGAATGATGTATATGGGACTACACGAGCACATGGCAAAAAAAAACCTACCCCCCGATTTTTACGATGTTTCATGTCATATTTAGAATATGGAGGCATTTAAAGATCCGTGCTTTTCAGGGAACATGTTTAATCTGATGTTCTTCCACCCTTGCATAATATCAATGATAACGCTCACAAATTATTTTTTACCTCTTCCCAGAACTCAACCTTCTTTTTAATACAAGGCATCATATTATTACCCCGGCTGTAGCTGAGCTGCCATAATAAGACCCTAAAGCATATAGTACAGATACAGCACATTGCTCTTTTATTCATAATGAATACATTCAACATGACTATTTACGTGATTATTCATGTTTTAATGTTTTATTGACTCAATCACTCACATGGGGTATTGTGAGTATATAACATGAATAATGACATAATTTAGAATTCAAGGTGACAATGGCAAGCATCGGTCATTAACAATAATCTCATAATCTCATAATAAAATCATGACAAATGAATGCTAATAGGCACAGTGCCTGCTTGACGACTTGGTCAAAGGTCAATCAAACATTGAGAAAGGGTCAATAATGAAACAAATATGCCAATGATAACCACATAAACTGCAATTTAAAAAAAGTGAGGGAAAATGGACTAACTTCTATGATCTTTGAATATCCATTATATGTTCTAGTGTAAGAAAATGACCAGTCTGACCGTTGTAAACACTGAGGGAACATCGGTAGAGGATCTTACCTTGTCATTCACCCATTGGATGAGATCATTGGCCTCTCGGACCAAGGAATGGCGCTTCACAGACTCCTCCAACGCTTCCTTGCGGGTACCAGCCTTGTCAAGAAGGCTTTGGTATCTGGACAGAACACAACAGAAATGGTAGTTATATGACATCTTATACTATTCTTTATTGCCAGCCTACATATACTTGACTGATCTCTGAGAAGTGACAAACTTTTGTTTTTAAGTGGCCCAAACATTGTGGAGCAATGTGTGCAGCGCTTTGTAACCGCAGGGAAAAGGCGCTATATCAAATATCTTTTGGATTGGATAGGATTGGATGACATATTCAACACCGGCCTTGTTAACAAGGGCTTAGTATCTGGAGAGAAAACAACATGCTAGTCATATGACATCTTCACCTAGTGGTCATCATTCATCTGAACTACACATATCTCTAGGGTGAGGTGTATAGTTCTTTAAGGTAAGATCAGCAAATGATTCACATCTTGGTGGATAGGATTCTTTCTGGGATGACACATCTTCCTCATACATCCCAGCCAAAGTTATTTAAACAGGTTAAATAAGTCAGTGATTTACTTCATTTTTCATTAATTGCTGACTCCCTGGGCCTTGTTGATTGACATCGCTAATCTCTCTCAATTAACATCCAATGTCTATTTCAGCTTTTCCTTCTCATTCCACGTGCATCCCATCTTAACCCACTCAATGCCTCAATAATTCAACTGATACTTGTATCAAACTCAAATACAGAGCCATCCCTCTTTCTATTTTTGAGACTTGCAAACAACACTCCATTAATTAACCAACATCTACATGTTTTACTCACTCTTGTTCAATGTTCTCTTGTCTTCTCATGATGTTAGCATCTTCAATGAGATTAGCTTGAGAAGCAGATTGAGCTGCATCCATCTTCTTGACGTAAGCAGCTGGGACGAATCCTTGACGATCGTTGACCTCTACCTTCCACCAGTCCTACAAACAAATAATAATAATAATAATAAAACAGCAATAATAATGATGATGATGATGATAATAATAATATCAGTAGGAGTAACAACAACAACAACAATAATAATAATAACAACATCAAAAATAATAATAAATACATAATTTATAATGCACTATCCACCTAGTACACTCTTGTGAGGTGCAAAGGGATATTGAGAAGAATGATTTGCATGTTTCTAAGGAATCTGTGAATTGGATTATATTATAATTGTTGGACTCAAATATAGTCTGAACATTACTGATGCCAGTCCTCAACAGTAAATAAATTATGGCTGGACTCAAACAGAAGCTGAAATTGTAAGTATCTTGTTCTTTATCAACTAAAATCAAATGAACATTACAGATAACTTATTACCTGATGAAAAATTACTAATTCTTCTTTCTGCTTCAGATATATACTTCACAGAAAAAAAAATTAATTGGGCCTAAAAAGGTGCATAAAAAGTTTGCAGATGTCCTGAAATCTGACTCATCATAAGAAAGCAAATTCTTAGTTTGAAATGAAAATCAACGGGAAGTTTGAACCCACAATCCCCTGATTAAAAGCCAAGTCCTACAGTATATCCACTGAACCACGAACCTTGTTTGAGCTGTTGAGTAGAACCAAGACATCACCCTTCTTCATCGACACCTCACGAGGGCTCTTCTCCGTGTAGTCATAAAGCGCCACCACATATTCCTTGCTAACATCATCAGAGATGGGAATATCTTGTTGCTATGGAAATAAAACGGCGATTTGAGAAGAATGAAAAACTGCCACATGTATACATAATCTGTAAGGATCACAATTATTTTCGGAAGTAGATATCATGATATGATTCAAAAGTGGCATTAGAGGAAAATGGTTAAAAGAAATGCAGATACATGAAGTTGAATCATCTTCTTCTAGATGTATACTACATGTATAAATGTCTGATGTTAATGATTTTCAGTAAACAAATATTCATTCATTTCTCTATTACAATGGTGTTCGACTCATTAAAAAAAAAAAATGTATATATATATTTTAGAATAGAATTCTTTCACTGCTCACAAGTACAAGAATTCTCATATGATATCCTTAATTTGAAAGATAATTATATATTCACAGTTTCGTCATAATACTTCAGTACGATTCTAAAATATTGCAGATAAAATATACCAGTATTTATGCAAAATGCTGCAGCAGTCCCAGCTATTGAAACATGTGCAATTAGAGTTCAACACATATATGTAGTCTCATAGCATGAAAGGAATAATATTTTCTAGTCTGGTGCAGACTAATTATCAGGAAGAATAAACATTGCATGCAGGTTCAGGGGACCAACAAATAATGAGCAAAATAGTTCTTTCATCTTATCCGGTACCCCCCTCATCTTCAATAACAATGTAAATCATTGTCCTATCAAGACAATCAAGTGCATCGATATGAAGCAATATGAAAATTGTGTAGTGTGTATAACTTTATTAGGCCTTTTCAATTTCTTTCTTTCACCTTTGTATTACAAATCCTCTATCTTAGGATTTGAGAATAATTTCATGAACCTGGCTAGCTTCCTTTTTATATATATACATTATGAAAAATTCCTTTTATTTTCAATATAAATATCAATATCATTTGTATAACCATGTTATGGTTTATGTTGTACAAACAAGACAGAACTTTTCGTTGATATAAAGAATTAATATGTTGGTCCCCTTAAATGAGTCTATATGTTGGGTACATTATTTCTCTTCTGCATGCAGTTAGAAACACATTTTATAGAAAACTGCAATAAATATTATTAGGTCAACCTCGTCATTGCGCTTGCTGATTAAAAGATTAAATTTACAGCAAAACACATAGATATTGTCCAAACACAATAATTTTGTTTTCTTTATTATATGACAGATATTAAACAATTAGAAGGTTTAAGAACCCATGACTAAGTATTTTTGTTTTCAAATGAACATTTGTTTTTGAACTTCTTATCCTATGCCAACATTACCCCATGTTTCATGAAACATTATCAACTTTCCTACTTCTCAATATGAAAACATAACTACAAGGATATGAAATGGTGTGGGTATGATCTATCAGTGCATAGGGCTAGACTCATATTCATAACATGTTCAGACATTATTATGGATTGCATGATATTCTCCCGATTTGTCCCCAAATAAATTCCTGCTAACGTTAGATGAGCTCAGTGTACATGTAAGTTAATGCAATTGGCCCACTCCATGGAGAGAGAGAGAGAGAAAAAAATTGTTATCAAATCATACATGATATTTCACACTTACATGTACATGTACATGTATGTTGCTGAAATACAGTGTACTTAGGAGTTATCTCTACAAATAAATACTCAATTAATGTTTTTAAAAAACAGAAAAAGAAATGTTTGATGGATAACCTAAGGATGATTTCAAGATAAAATCTAAATGTATTGATACTACAATGAAAATGTTTTTAATTACTAACAATACCATCCCTTTGTACCCTACATGAAAGCCTGTCTTCCCTGCAATGGCTAATTGCTTGACGTAATCTGAGCAGTGGGTGGGCTGCAGTGAAGGGCAGTTATTAATTTATGACATCACCCAGCATGGAATAACTTATATAACTAAGCAGTTATTAGGGTCTTGCATAAATAAAATACTTGCAGTTGAATCCAATTTTCCATGACCAAACACCAATCAACCAATCTGAATCAACCTTTAATCCGCAATCTCCAAAATGGGTTAAATTTAAAGGACCTTATTGAATGACTATATGGCATTTAAATTTACAATGTTTAAAATAAAACAAACTATTTAGAAATTAAATATTAAATTTCACAATGATTGAAAACAAATCCTCCCTTCTCAAATTTGAAATAATATGCTCTAGATAAAATATGACATCATACTTCCTTTGAAGTATAGGCATCAGAAATCATTATGGAATCAAAATATCCCCTTATTATTTGCACTCGCCCTGCACCCCGCATCCTTGTTAGTAGCAACGATTAATTAAGTGATTAAACCAGTTCTCATTCCAGCGTGAGTTACTGCATTTCAAATATGATGCACAAGTTATCCAACTCACACAGCATGTAACCCACTGTCTACCAGAACCAGGTACGTTCTGTTATTAACCTTTAGGGGATCAGAACATTCTGTACTCAATGGGTTAAAGAGATATACTCTTCTTGGCCAAGAACATTTCCAAAATACACTTCTCTAAAATAAACTCAGCCTCCATGAATCAGCCATTGTTTTTGTAACATGTTAGTTCATTGCTGTTCATGTGTGAGATTCACATGTAAATGATAAAAACATTTGATGAAAGCCTGCAGTGTATGTCAAAGTTAAGACATGGCAGGTTACAACACACTAGTCTCTAGTACAAGGTGATACTAGAGTGATATAATAAGATGGGTAAGTGTGACTCTATAGTGGCCTTTGAGGTGGTTGTTGTCTGGTGCGACAGGTGTCGGGTGTTAACTCAATATCAACTCCAGCTTTAACACTCAATTTGACATCTACAGGTGCTTAACTCTGCATACAAGCCACTTCAGATATAGTACTTGTACAAATGACCCCAAAATATCCACAGATCTTTTACATATGGAGACATCCCGTTTTACACATTTTAGAATAATCACTGCAAAGTGATGGAGGTACTTCATGAATATCTTTTGTTTGCCCCTTTAAAAGAATACTTCCAGCTGTGTATCATAGAATGCACCGCCAATAATGATTACATAACTTTCATGAAGATGTATTCTGCCGTCGTTTCAATGGGTTTTGACTTTATCTGCCTATGCAAAGGTAATATCTGGTGTTTAACAATGTGTGGTGTTTAACAATGTGTGATTTTCAATAGGAATATTTGCTTCCTTGAATTCTTCACAGGATAGCACCATGAGTGTATCATCCTGTTATACCTGCAATCCATGCGCTACAGTTAAGCACCAATATGGAGCGAGCCACTGGTGTTTAATAAGGAGATAACACCAAACACCACATCCCGACACCAGACTCTACCACCCACAGTGTAAGATGATGCTATCTGATGCAAGCTACAACTACCAGAGCTCAAGCACGCATGAAATATCGCTAGAACACCATCTTGCTAAATGTCAGGTTATCACAACCACTTTCTCGTCTCTGACTTACGTTTCCATCACGCTTTGGGAGATGCGGATCATACTGAAAAGACGATAGAGAAGCGGGGCTCGGAAAAATGAAGGTTAGAAGGTCAGAGGTCAACAGATTTTAAAGAGAAAGTAAGAACTTGAACAGAATAGAAGCAAAAATAATAAATCTAATTGCAAGACTACAAAGAATTATTGATACTACTACAATTCTTCTTTTTTTTTTTTGAAATTTGAAAATTGATAAAAAGTATAGTAGACTGAGAAAGAGAAATAGAATATATTTGAGGAGACACAACTTATAAGCTCTATTGGAGGACTACTACAGCAAAAGAAATTAAATTATGGTTATAAGGGAAAGAAATGAAAAGACAACATACCTACATTGATTTCTGAAATTCAATTAAACTGTATTTCATCATCAACTACTCTCTTTTTAATGAAACCATATCATATAGGGTTTCTGGGTTGAAAGAAGGGTTGGAAAAGAAGAGAAAATGTGAAGATTTCAGATATTACTAGAGTTAAATCGAATTGGTACAGGCAGTGTGAAAGAAAAGGGACTCCTTTCTCTAACTGAAAGCAAGAAATTGTTACCAATAACAACTTTTTAATGCTATTTTTCTAATTAAAAAGAAAGAAAGAAGAACAGTATGACCTTGGAATGACCTCTGTGATGATTGTAAAGTGAATGCCTTACCCTGCATCCTTCAGCCTGTTGCTTGAGGATCTCAACGGTCGTTCTATAGGCGACAAGATCAGCCATCAGGGTCTTGTGCTTCTTCAGTTGAGACTAGACAGAGGAAAGCAAAATATGAACAAAGAAGAAATGGTGAACATAACAGTTGAGACAACTCACAAAATTACAAAGAAATTCATTGAAAAGCTGAGGTATCATGGGGATTAAAAAGCATTATTTTTACAATTAAGGTGCTATTCTCTACTAAAAGTAATGTGGAGTAACCGGGCTCTATCAGAGTAGCGTTTTGCCTTGCAGTCTTTCTCGGAACCTGATCAACGCTCTGGACATTCATTCATCAACGACCTCTCAATGGGTCTCACAAAATATATTGTGTAAGAAAAACATGGACTCTAATTTCACTCACTCCCACAACAAATAAATATACAACATGAACTAAAGAAACAACACTTACACAGTATAATGTGCAGTTTAGGTAACTTTATCTCATTCCAAGTAACTGATCTCTACACTAGTACCTGTCGCAACGACAGCTCAACATTGGCTGACTGACATGCTCACGATGTACATGTATTTGTTTCATAATTAACTATAACGCCCTCTACGTCTTACTAAATACTGGACTGATTATGCTACAGTATTATTGCAATGTGTCAAAATCTTAGTTGACCTCAATAGACAGGTTTGACTGTATAATTACTGCACAAAGATGCAAAGTGTTTAAGCGCACGGAAACCATGATATAAAATCCAAAAATAATAGACAATCCCACATAGACTCCTTGGAATCCTGATGACTCACCTCAGCACTGTCTTCGTCTTTACCATAGTCCTCGCTGGCGACAATGGGCTCTTTTTCTTGCATCCAAGATTCAGCCTCATTTGCGTCAGCGAAGTACTGCTGGGCTTCCAATGAATCCTCCAGATCATCCTTGCGCTGGGCGATCTTGTCCTGTAAGGCAAATAGACAATGAAATTGTTAAGCCCTGTCCGTAGGTATGTCGCAGCAAGCAGCCGCATGATTTCAATGATGACTTAACTGTAACATGCATCACATTTTTGTATCTTATGACACAGAGTTTAAGCGTAGGAACTTTGTTTGCACTCAGTTGCCATTCATTTTCAATTATAATTTTATTTTTCCTCCTTATTTAAAAAAAAAAAAATACCAGGGAATATCTAAACAAGCCTTTAATGGGAAAATAGACATTAGAAGGGTTATTTGAATTGGGATCAGAAATTGATTACTGGTTTTGGAATTACAACGATCAGATTTGAAATTTGAATTCAAACTGAAATAGGTAGTCAAATTACACTGATTGAAATCGAAATTGTTAATGAATAGGATTTGAATTGTTCTTGGAAGATGAATGGTTATTATATTATTGCTATTTGCATTGAGATTTTGCATCAAATTTATTTTGTATTTTTAATTATTCATTATGACATTCCATAGTCAATCAATCAAAAGAGTTAATTAAATGGTTAAAAAATAATCCATCTAAATAAGTCCTTAGACTCTTGTTTTTTATTGTTCACACGCATTGAAAAGAAGAGGTACGGTTGCCATGGAAACTGCTTACCTTGAGATTCTTCCACTTCTCTTCCAATCCCTTGACCTTGGTAGCGATCTCATCATTAGCAAAGTGACCTCAAATCAGGAATAAAATGAGATAATAACGATCATTGATCAAACTAGTTGATGGCTGTAACATTGTCTTCAAAGTAGTCATACACACATATGTTCTGATATTTCTATCAGAGGACATTCTTAAATTAAGAATCAGATTTTCTGGCTCCTTAATAGAATAAGATCCAAAGAATTATGAAAATATTAGATTTTCAGATATTCAAAATGTTCAGCAATTGCTATCTTAAATTCTTACGAGGCATTGATGTCCATATTAACCAGACGCTGAATTTGTTCACTTATGATTGTGGTAAGCGTTATCAAGCAAATTCTCCATATCATTTAAAGTAACGCGTGGCTGGAATGCTCCCCAAGGTGGAGAATGTGCATACATTGTGTGCGGGCAAGTAATGAATCCAAAGAACGGAGTAATAGTATATGTGTAAAGTGCTTAGAGACATCGTAGATGTATTAAGCGCTGTATATAAGCTGAATATCATTATTATCATTTGACGATACATCGTAAGACCTGAATAATAATCTCACCTTCCTCTAGCATCTGTTCTCCAGTCTTACAAACCATCGTGATCCTAGGTTCATGGCCAGCGACCTCTGTATTCAAAGCCTGGTGTTTCTTGATCAGGTTCTGCACTCCGATGAGATCCCGACCACGGTTGGTGGACGATGCCAGTGGTTCCTTCTCCCTGATCCAAGCCTCCTCGTCGTCGACGTCGCGCAGGAGCTCATGGAGGCGATGGGCAGCCTCAAGCTTCTGCTTACGAGCTTGGAGTGGGGCCTGTAAGCAAGGTGAGAGTGAGGTCAAGAGTGTTACTAGCATTATTTACATATGGAGTCCTTCAACATTGATGGGATATGGCCAAATCTATCTATCTAAATATCTTCTTCCAGTTCGGAGGTTGATTGCAACATCTTCCCATTTCACTCGATATTGCTGGAAAATGGCTATTCTGTTAAATGTACTGATTGATAAGAAGTGTCACTGACAAGTCAATTTTGCCATTACTTAGGTTACTAGTGTTAATATGCATTGTTTACATAAAGAGTCCTTAGAAATGAATGGAATATGGCTCAAAGTATGCTAGAAAATGGCTATCCTGTCAAATCTGCTGATAATAAGTTTCAATGACAAGTCAATTTTGCCATGATTTCAGAACTTACATGGTCACCTAGTGTCGACCAAGCAGAGACACTACTTTCGTCATTCCTATGACATGTCAACCATATGGTGTAACTATCATTGTCACATACTTTCTTAATATAATTTTGCATCATGTAGCATTCACAAAGATAAATATCAATGTTCTGTAGCAACCTTCTCATCATAAATATGTTGCGTCTGCATCAAAACCACATTATTTTAATTGAATGACTAGGCTTTAGAGAACATAGTCTGCATGGAAGTTCTTTCATCTGCGGGATACATAAACATTAGGGTAGCATTCCACAAAACCGTTCCAAGTACAAGTTCACCAACGTCCTGTCTAGTTTAATACAAGTTTCAATGGCATGTCCGGGAACATGTTCTTAGGATGGTGTTGTGAACCAGTGCCCTGGTGAGCATCACATGGACCTACCCTGAGTGCTTCCACTTTGTTGGCCACCAGCTTCTCTTTCTCTGAGATCTCATCCGCCTTGAAGTGGGATGCCATAGCCATGTTAGTGGTCTGCATACGAGTGGCCTGGATAGCGGTCTCCTTGACCCCGATGTCTGATTCCAACATGTCTAGCTTAGCACGAAGCTTCTGAACAGATACAAGATCCTGGGTTGGTGAAGAGAGGAGTAAATCAGTCAATGTTATTGTTATCTATATCCTTCTTTCTTCAAACTTACCCTGCTATCTGCCCACGTCTTCTTGCCCATCACTCACTCTTTCATGTATTATTATATCTCCCCTCTCTCTCTCTCTCTATAAGTCTTGATCCTTCTTTCTTCTAATCATCCACTCTCACTCTACTGGGAGCATGCCTTTTCTACCTCTCTGTCTTTCCCTTCATCATACTTATCCTTTTTTCTATCTTTACCCATCTCAACATCCTTTTCTCGGGGGGGGGGGGGGGGGGGGGGGGGGGGGGGGGGGGGGGGGGGGGGGGGGGGGGGGGTAAGAGGACACTTTTTTTTTTTTTTTTTTGGTCACAACAATATTGAATTAGACATTTTCCTCCGTTGGGGGTGGGTATGGTCACCTTTTCAGGTCAGCTATTGGCATTTAAAAAAAAAATTTAATAAAAAAAAATATAATTTTTTTTTGGGCCGGGGGGGGGGGGGGGGGGGGCCTGTTTTTCAGTACATTTTGGGCGAATTTAGGTCTGATTTAAAAATTGCCCCCTATGCCCCCCCCCCCGGCCAAAAAAAAATATGTTAAAATCAGACCTAAATTCGCCCAAAATGTACCCCTATGCCAAAATGCCCCCTATGCCCCCCCCCCCTGGATCCGCCACTGGACTGATTTATTAACTTACCTTTCCAATGTCATCTGAGCCGAGGATAGCATCAAAGTCAGTCAGAGATGTCGCTATCTCTTCAATGTTACGCGTGACAACAGCAGCCTCAGTGGCTTGAGTCAGTTTCTGACCTGTGATTTAAAAAAACAGAATTTTAAATCAGTTGAATTTGACAATTGCACTTTTAAAGAGTGTAAGTACCATTGTATTTTTGTCCTTTTGGGGGGGTGTGTGTGCTATGCATTTTTTGTATGTTTTTATGAAAGTGGTTAATAAATTCCATTCAATACAAATAAGATTGTACAGAGTATATGTGATCCAGTAAAAAAATTTGGAATTCTTAGGACATCAACTAAATTTTTATCTATTTCAAAACATGTAACAAAGCTTGAATTACGTGCTGCAGTACAATTGACATAGGAACTCATCCTGAATCACAGATTCCTTTAGAAACAGTACTTTATGTAGTCATTAAGAAAAGATTAAACTATAGCTAACCTTGCTGTAATCTTAAAGCATAAGTATGCCCTTTTCATCCTAAGGCCTGGTCTTCGAGGAATATTTTTAAATCAACTTTCAATTCCTCAATAATTTGATAACACATAAAACTTCTTTAGGGAACAGGTTAAAAATGTTTTGAAGGTTTGTTTTGGCCAACTGCTAAGAATACAATACAATACAATACAATGAACATTTAGGGCGCCATTCCCATAAGGCTCAGAGCGCTAACATCAAATAATATTATTGGTCTTTACTACATGTAGTAATTAAAGGCTACAATTAGATATTCCATATAAAATATTAAATTCAATTGATTAAATTAAATAATTAAACATAGAGGAGAATTCATGTAAAGAGATGAGTTTTCAGAGCCTTCTTAAAAATATCGATAGAGGCAGATTGTCTGATGGACATGGGGAGATTATTCCACCCTTTGGATGCTGCTACCGTGAAAGTCCTATCCCCGGCTTGGACACGTGTAATTGGATAATTTAGACGGAGGTTATCATTTGAAGATCTGAGATTTCTGCTTGGTGTATATAAAGTTAAACAATTAGACAGGTAATTAGGAGCTAGGTGGTGCAATGATTTATAGACATATAAGAGTAACTTAAAAATGATTCGCTGTTGAATTGGAAGCCAGTGAAGGGAATTAATTAATGGTTGAGCTGAATGACTTCTACCGACCTCAAACACAATACGTGCTGCCCAGTTTTGTAGGCGCTGGAGACGGTTTACATGTAACTTTGGAAGAGAGGAAAGAAGTCCATTACAATAATCAAGTCTAGAGAGAATTAAAGACCTTACAGCATGATGACAAGTTGATTGATCAATATATCTACGAATTCGTGATATGTTCCTTAAGTGAAAAGTGACCGTTCTACTAACATTGTTAATATGTGAATTCATACTCATATGAACATCAAAGAATGCGCCCAAGTTTTTAATTGTGTCTGTAGGTTTTACGGAAATATTTCCTATGGTGAGAGTTATGTCTGTAAGAAAGCATGTGTATGCTTGTAAGTGAGCAACCAGGGGACCAAAGGCTTACCAAGTCTTCTCCGAGGGACTTGGTAATGAGGATTAATGCCTTACCAAAAGGCTCTAGAGCATCAAGTTGGTTTAAGAACCCGGTTAAAAGACCACTGCTCTACGACCGAGCCATCACGACTCCTATAAAAAAAACAATCCTCTAGGAATCAACAGTGACTTACTCTTCTGCTCTGAGGTGTTGAGCAGCTCCATCCAGAGTCCATTAAGGTTCTCCAGACGTTCACGGATCTCCGGGGAGTTGTAATGGTCTTCAGAGATCATGCTGTTGCCTTCATCACGGACCTTGCCGATACGCTGCTGGTTGGCTTGAAGCTCAGACTCAAAGACAGAGTGCTTCAACTGCTTGCGTTGTAAGTTGGTAGGGTCCTTTGTATAGAATGGTAAGAAGAAGGATTTATCAAGAATTGTTTTACGTATAAATAAACCTATATTTGTATGTCCTTTACATCTCGGATGGTTTCTGCCTCTCTCTCTCTCTCTCTCTCGGTGCCATAAATGTAGAACTTTGGTGATCATGCTTTTCCATAAGACTCTATTTGTAGCCTTCACCAGGAGCTCCTATCCCTGGGGGGTGTTTCACAAAGATTTTAAGTTGAATTTATCTTTAAGCTGTTGGACTTAATAATTATGGAAAGCTGTAGGCATCTTTGAAAATATTTTGTAAAAGTTATTTTAAAAGGCATAAAATGTTGATTCAAATCATTCATATTTTCTATTATCAAGGAGATTTCATGTTCTTGATGTGGAACTTATGACAAGTCTAAAATACTTGCATTTTTGCATTTTGAATGTATTTTATTTTAAGGCTACAATTGGTTCTCCATAATGTTTAAGTCCAACTCAGAGTTAAGTTCGACTAAGGATACTCTGTTGAAATGAGTATGAAATGAGTACCTTGTAAGATTCATCAGATGTTCCCTTGAGTTTCTCCCTGATCCAAGCCTCTACCTCATCAGCATCCTGATCAAACTGCTGGTATCGGTAGGAGTCCTCAAGAAGCTTGCGACGTCTATCAGCCTTATTAATCAGGGCACCACGACGGTCCAGAAGCTGATCAAAGTAGAAGAGAACACAAACATGAATATTGAATGATATCAGCTTCTCATATCAATTTGAAAATGAACTTGTAAAGAAGATCTTTATTCAGACACACAATATCAAATCATTTTTAAACTGAGTCTCTCAAGTTACTCAAGAATTGATTATAATTGTATATAGCATGAAATTTCTTGCAACTATATTCTGTTTGGCTTCCCGTTCAATGGATTCCTTTGAAGATATTACAGAAGAGCCTCTGAGAGAATGCATATTCTTAGGCATAGTAATGCATTACTTAATTTTACAATGGACACCACATGGCGCTAATTGGAAGTAAAAGACTGTTATAATAGTCTTATTTATGTGATTATATTGGTTATACAACTGTAGGATGATATTTCTTGCAACTACACTGTTTGGCTTTCAGTTCAATGAATTCCTTTGAAGACATTACATAAGATCTGTAAGTAAAAGACTGTTATAATAGTCTTACTTCTGTGATCATCAGCATACACTTGTATCTTTACAGAGTTATAGCACTAAAGTTTGCATGAAAAAGGAAGATGAAGAATTGATTGATATAATAGCTCACCTCTTTCCTGCATTGGTCGACATCTGGTGAAGCATAGTGCTCACTCTGAATCAGCTTGGTAGCAAAGTCATCCAGAGCCTAGGAACGAAGAGAGATGTTATCCAGAATTAAGACATAATCTAAAATACATCATCTTTAGCAGAAGCAGAAGAAGCTTCATCATGATCATCACTATCATCATCACCATCATCATCATCATCATCATCCCTATCACCATAATCAGAGCTGCCAACCATTTTGTTTTTGCCGGAATTACTCCGTTTTTTCCTCCCAATTACGGTATTACGTTTTTTCTTCATAAAATACGTTTTTTAATAATTTTTTTTTTTTAATTTAATTTTTTTTTTTTACATACCGCACGTCAAACAACTGCCCTAAAATGGTGATTTGATCACAAATTCAATAGAAAACTAATTTTAAAACATACTTGAAGAGAAAAATATTCACAAAAAAATGAAATCTCGATAATACCAAAATAACCACCACAAAAATTTATGAATTCCTTTTTTTTGCTTTGAAATTCCTTTTTTTTGCCATCATGATTCCTTTTTTTGGTCGCACAAGGTTGGCAGCTCTGCATAATGGTCATTAATAAATATTCATCAATACATCTACATCACAAGAATCTTACTCCACCTGACTTCAGTTTCAAATAACTAAAACATACTACCTTTACCACAAACATCTAATATCCCCTAACCCACCATCATTACATACATCCCATTGTCATAGCAACCACATTCTCACCTTGATCTTCTCCTCCTGAGCATTGAGAGACTTCTCAAAGTTGTCATGTTTCTTGATCAGTACCTCCACCTCATCAATGGAATCTCCCAAGTCCTCGTTGACCAGGAATGTCTGCAAGATAAATGAGGTATTTATATAATATTGGATGGCTTTGAGTGTGATACAAGAATATATTGCTCGAGCTATGACAATATTGAACGAGTCGGAAACGAGTCCGATATTGTGTTAGAGCAAGCAATATATTCTTGTATCACACAAAAACAAAGCCATATCACATTGTTATTATTATCTATATCTGGCTGACTAGCGAAATATCAAAATTTGTTTTCAATTGATATCGATATCGATAGTTGAAGTTCCTGGATGACTGAGCAATACGAAAACAATATTGGTCAGTCCTCCAGGTACTGCGCTAAATATATTGAATACACTGATTTATTGTACCACTTGGAAGCCTTATATAGATAATAATGCAGAATATATTCCTAAACTAGTAGTTTAAGTACAGTGTATATCAGGTCATCAACAAATCTTGAAATCAATGATGTTCATATATGTATGTTTAGATGATAAACATTTGAACCAAATGCAAAACACCTGACGAAATTATATGCACTGATAATCAAAAACACTGTTTAAAGATACAGATTTAACTTTAATTTTTGTTTTTTTAGTAAATATGCACTACCAATAAAGGCAATATCAATAAGGAAAAAAAAAACATTCAGACAATGTATTCTATAAATACAAAGTATCAAACAGTGATACAATTATGAAATAAGAAATAGCAGTAACATTGGAAGAATCCTGGATCAATGAACAGGCTTAGACGTACAACATCGTGTATTAAAGTAAGTAAAGTAAAGCAAGAATCTTTTGCATGAATGCTGTTGAAGCCCTCTTCTTTCAATGCTTATTTGTTTGTACTTATCGGCTTCCATGTCACCATCATCTTAGAGGGATGTTCTTACCTCTTGTTTAGTCATCCAGCTCTGGGCTTGCTTGGTATCTCTGTAGAAGAGCTGTAGATCCATGCATTGTTCGTAGGTCACACGTCTCTCTTCCCACAGCTCTTCAAGGGCCTTCTTCTCATCAGCGAGAGTCACAAGCTGAAACAAAACAAATAACAAAACTTTAGAAATATCACACGAAACATAAAATCATTTTAATTGTGCATCCAGGTATTATATGCATGTAGCGTGATTTGCCTTTTGATATCTATAACTTTTGGTATCCAAATCTGCTTGGGTACAATTAACTTTCTTGTGATTTCTCTTATAAAGCTCTAAAAGGGGGGGCCAAAAAAAGATATGAAAAAGATGATGTGGGCATTCTACTGGAAAAAATACTAGATCAAAAGTTACGTCATTGCTTTCTCATGTCCTATTTCAAATACTGTCCACATACACAAAACACAAAACCCAACAATAATAATATCAAATGCAAGCAAGTAGATTTATAGAATTCTGTCAAATTCATGTTGTAATACTGACTTATATGCACTTTAGCAACTGGGACCCGTCTCATCAATGGTAATTAAGAGAAATCAACTAAAATTGATAATTAATCACTGCTCTCTTCATACGGAATAGGTGATTGTAGCTCTGGGGGTGATTAATGGATCTGCAATATACTAGGATCAAGCACAACTGTGTATAAGAGCAAACTTTGGTCCATATGTTGGTATAACTACTGTAGGTTAGTACAGTGAAACCCATCTATAAAGACTGCCGAAGGGAGACAAGAAAAGTGGCCTCTATATACAGGTGTTTATTATGAACAGATTCCTTTAGTACAGTGTCAATGAGAAATCCTTTTCAAGGGAAACCAAAAATGTGGCCTTTGAAGACAGGTGGTGTTTGTTGACAGGTGGTCACTAAAGCAGGTTTGACTGTAGTTTCACATTCTGATGATCATTTACCTTTTCTTTGACTTCATCTGACTGAGGATGGTTCTCATCAAGGAGCTGTTGGCCTTCCTCAGCGCACTGCTTGAAGCTATCCTGATGGGCATCGATCTCACCCTAATAACATAGACAAAAGAAAGAGAGAACTGAACCTACAGTATCATCCTAACTACAGCAAAATCCATTCTGTCATCAGGAATATAAACCAATCACATCTTCATCATGAAACTTCAAGATGACAAAAAGAAAACTGTTAAGATGAAGAAAACTGTTTTAGTTTTTATTTGTGGTTTGAAAAGAAAACGAGAGAGATCAAGGATTTAATAAATTTCACACACACAAAATAAATACACACCAATGTTTACATTTCAAGCTTTCAATCACATATATGAAATTCTGGAGTGGTGTCTCACAATATTCAGCACTGCACATGAATAACTACTGAGATTTGTAATTTTGATTTCCAGTTTTAATAGACAATTTTTTTAGCATCAGAAACAAATATGCTCTAATCCAGGGATGCCAGTTAGAATTGATCAGAGGGCCTGAAAATTACGTAGAATGAGCTATTTTGTACACAAAAAAAGGATAAACTATGGTCTGAAAATAACTTGCCAGGACCTGAATTCAGGCTCTTGCTTGAAAACTGGCATCCCTGTCTAATCATCCAACCCTCCAAAGCCCTACTGATGCTCTCCCTATGACCCTTGACCTTTGATACCTTGTGTTCTTGGTGTCGTTCCATGAGAGCCTCTGCTCCTGGTACATCCTTAGCCAGCTCATCAGCATTGATAATGTTCTTCATCCAACCCTGCATACATCTACATCCCAAGCCCTACTAATGCCCTCCCTATGACCCTTGACCTTTGATACCTTGTGTTCTTGGTGTCATTCAATGAGAGCCTCTGCTCCTGGTACATCCTTAGCCAGCTCATCAGCATTGATAATGTTCTTCATCCGACCCTGCATACATCTACATCCCAAGCCCTACTAATGCCCTCCCTATGACCCTTGACCTTTGATACCTTGTGTTCTTGGTGTCGTTCCATGAGAGCCTCTGCGCTTGGTACATCCTTAGCCAGCTCATCAGCATTGATAATGTTCTTCATATCATTGGTCCATGCGATAGTATCACGGTAGTCAGCAAGGAATCGATGCATGTTAGCAGACTCTACAAGACGGATCTTACGCTCATCAGCCTGCAGGAGAAAAATAAAAAATAAATGGTAATATTCTAGATTTATGTAGCACTTAATAAGAAATAGCGTCTCCAAGTGCTTTACAGATATTATTCACTTATTCATTGAATTCATTCACGCATAATGTGCACCATCTCCAATACCTGGGGAGTATCCATACCATTTGACCCCCATTTTCGGATATATAAAGATCCTGAGTAAAATTACCCAACGATAGTCATTCAGAATGACAATTGGATTGAACAGTAATTGGTTTCCTGATGAAATATCACCCTATGAGAAACTGCATGGCAGTAAAATGTGTTCAATACAAATATAAGAGAGTAATGGATGATGAAAGTAACATTTCAAAGAATTCTCTGCTTAAGATTTCCTTCCATATACTACCCCTTAAGAAAGGCATAACTGCTTACTGTGAAGTCTGTGGTATGATTTTAGCAACCATTTTCAGGATATTACAACATGTAGATGTATGACTGACCTTTGAACGAAGGTTCTCCCAGTTGTTAGCAATCTCATCTTTCTTGGATTGTATCTCTGGCGCATGGTCTGTGTGGATCTGTTCCAGACGGTCTGCTTCCTGGCACAACGCTGTCACCTGTTAGATGAAATATCTACCATCAATATCATCTTCCATGTAATGAAGAACTACTCATAGATCTGGGCCCCGTCTTACAAAGAGTTGATAATAATCGCAACTTATTTCTAATTAATATCAATCGCAAATATGTATGCAAAGTTGCAATTGGAGGATTTGCGATTGATTTGGATCAATTAAATTTTATGAATTTAGAATCTATAATATAATTCTTAGTGTGTATTTAAAAAACAAATGTAAGTTATATTATCAAGTTGCAGACTTGTATTCAAATCCCCACAAGTTTTAGTCATCTTTTTAAAAACAAAAGTTTTGAGCTCAAAAGGAATATCTTAAATTCATATGAGACTGATCCTGCAACTTATATGTAGATTTAGTAATAACATCAAGATAACATTTTTCGCATGAACCAATCCTGAGTACATGTAAAGGTATAGTATTAATGACTGCTTTGAGAGAAATAGTTGTTTTATTACGCTCAAGAGAAGGTTAGAATTGTGCTATTCCCCGAGGCTTGCCGAGGGGAATAGCCCAATTGTAACCTTCCCGAGAGCGTATGAAAACAACTATTTCTCGAATATTAAAGCAGTCATTAATACTTTTATATGCCGAAAAAAAATAGACTAAAAATGAAAAATTAAAAATATTTATCATTTTTGTCGAAGACGGGATTCGAACTCTTGCGTACAACAAGAGGTGTACTGAAAACCAACGCTTAGACCACTCGGCTATGGCCCGCCGTTAACATGCTTGGCAGTTTTCTCCAATATATACATTAAAATGGATTGAAACCGGCTTCGCGTGTGATGAATGCTTCGCAAAAGCTCCATATACGGACTCTTCTTTTACTTTTGCAATGCATATTGGCACGAACTTAGATCAAGATCTATCGGCAGATGTTGTTTTTTTCTTTTTGGAAGTTTATTTTCGTCTTCATGTCAACAATGCAAGATAAAATTGTCGGTAAGATCGATCGAGATTCAATTGTATTGAAATTACCGACCAATCCTTCGCACACATACGGCATCCTCCATCGCTCAAACCATTTTTTAACATGTAAACCTATGGGGTAACCATGGAGGCTGACCAACTTTTTTTAATAACCATGGTTATTAAAAATATTGAAATGTTTTATGCATGGTTACCGAGAATTTTACAGGAACAGTTGAAGTTTATGAATGCAATTCGACCAATCAGATGGCTGGATTTCTTAAGTGAGGTATATAATATCCAATATATGATACATGATTTCTTAAATACATGTTATTACCTAGTTTGAAAAAAGAAAAGAAAACTAGATGGAATTTTGACTGCGCGCAGTCGAAAATGATGCCTCCGCCATAGAGCAATTTAAACAAGTTTGGAGTTTAAATCTCCAGTGGTTCTTGAGATATCATGATAACAATCTCAATGTATGGAATTTCATAAGTTGACCTCTGTGACCCTTGACCTTTGACCTACGTGCTCCAAAATCTAATCAGATTGTCTTCCTATGGTGATACACACTATCATTAAGTTTGAAGTTTAAATCTCCATTGGTTCTTGAGATATTATGATATGGTGATACATACTATCATTAAGTTTGAAGTGAAAATTCTCCAGTGGTTCTTGAGATATCGCGATAACGATCTCAATGTATGGAATTTCATAAGTTGACCTCTGTGACCCTTGACCTTTGACCTACGTGCTCCAAAATCTAATCAGATTGTCTTCCTATGGTGATACACACTATCATTAAGTTTGAAGTTTAAATCTCCAGTGGTTCTTGAGATATTATGATAACAATCTCAATGTATGGAATTTCATAAGTTGACCTCTGTGACCCTTGACCTTTGACCTACGTGCTCCAAAATCTAATCAGATCGTCTTCCTATGGTGATACATACTATCCTTAAGTTTGAAGTTTAAATCTCAAATGGTTCTTGAGATATCGCGCTAACAAACTCAATACAAGGAATTTCATAAGTTGACCTCTGTGACCTGTGACCTTTGACCTACGTACTCCAAAATCTAATCAGATCGTCTTCCTATGGTGATACATACTATCCTTAAGTTTGAAGTTTAAATCTCAAATGGTTCTTGAGATATCGCGCTAACAAACTCAATACAAGGAATTTCATAAGTTGACCTCTATGACCCTTGACCTTTGACCTACGTGCTCCAAAATATAATCAGATTGTTTTCCTATAGTGATACACACTATCACTAAGTTTGAAGTTTAAATCTCCAGTGGTTCTTGAGATATCATGATAACAATCTCAATGTATGGAATTTCATAAGTTGACCTCTGTGACCCTTGACCTTTGACCTACGTGCTCCAAAATCTAATCAGATCGTCTTCCTATGGTGATACATACTATCCTTAAGTTTGAAGTTTAAATCTCAAATGGTTCTTGAGATATCGCGCTAACAAACTCAATACAAGGAATTTCATAAGTTGACCTCTGTGACCTGTGACCTTTGACCTACGTACTCCAAAATCTAATCAGATCGTCTTCCTATGGTGATAAATACTATTCTCGAGTCTTAAGTTTAAATCTTAAATGGTTCTTGAGATATTGTGATAACGGTCAAACGGGACGGACGGACGGACGTACGGACGGACGGACGTACGGACGGACGTACGGACGGACGTACGGACGGACGTACGGACGGACAACCCGAAAACATGATGCCTCCGGCACCACCTTCGGTGGCGGAGGCATAAAAAGAAGGTGCTTTGTATTATTACTCAGGACTACCGTACTAACTGAGGATATCATAAATTAGGTATTGACCTTATCTTCGAGTGCATGTAGATCACGCTCTGTTCCCTCATGCTTCCTCTGCAGTGCCTGGACGCTAGCTAGGTCACGGCCGTAATCATCAACAGACAAAATGGAATCCTTCTCATTGATCCATCCAATGGTCTCATCAGCATCCCTGATGAAAAGAAGATCAAAATTAGACGTGACAGAGAGTCAAGTGGAGTGTAAAATGTTTATTCAATTTTCAATTTATCAATTTCATAAAATACAAAGATATAATATATTATAATTATGGGAAATTACATTAAAAAGCCAGTGACAGCGATTCCCCTTGAGTGTGAGTTTGAGTTTATTTGTTTCACATTTCACATGCAGATATAATACAGATACAAAATATACATAAAATACATTGTTTCATAATTCTAAAATATGATTATAGTAATTGACAAGGTAATCAGACTACAAACAAAGCCCCAACAAAAACAAAATCATTATAATATTTCAAACATTAAACAACTAAATAAAGAAACGTAGAAAAAAAATGTATTTATATATTTTTCTTTTTCTTCCAAGGACCCACCATCCCTTCCATTTGTGATTATTTCCGTCAAGATTTCAGCTCATGGTCAGCTGGTCATACGTATGAATTCAGTGGTCATTATTTTGTGATTTTGTGCTATCAATTGTAGAGTTGTTCATTGAAACAGCGTAGATGGATCATTTCCAATTTCAAAGACATATCACTAAAACTCAGTAATCTATGTGATACTTTGCTAGCTCTAAACCATCAAATTGTGACATTAATACAGGAACATTTTGGTAATAAGGAAAATCACTTTTACAAGACAATAAGATTTCATTAATTTCCCGGTCCTATTATTCCTCCAATAAAGTAGATGTAAAGTAGTTCAAGAAACTACTCAAGGCACATCTATTCTGCTATAAATTACTTTATCACCAGCCTACATATACTTTACTGATGTCCAAGAAGTGTCTGACTTTTGTTTTTAAGTGGCCCAAACATTGTGGAGTGTGCGTGCAGCGCTGCAAGGAAAAGGCACTATATCAAATATTTTTTGGATTGGATTGGATTGGTAGATGTTGTATTAAAGTGTTTATTTTACCGGTTGAATCTCTGTATCTCCATGGCACCGAAGAGCTTCTCCTGTCGGATGATAGCCAGCTGCTTGAGACGTTCCCATGCATCGTTCAGATCCTGCATCACAATAACAAATGGTCAAATAGTTCACCTTGTCACCACTGTAACTTACTTTGAAAAGCCATAAAGTATGGGACATGGTAAAGATTGAGAAGATAGCAATTAAAAATGATCTTTTTGTCATGAAGATACGTCATTTCATTTCATTTACTTATTTTTTCAGCTCTGAATACAAACTAAAAGTCAATTTATACATTAAAACATACAAAGATAAGTGCCCCCTTCTTGGTAAAGATCACAGACTCCAAACTCTGCAATTGTTATCTTTGAACTATTGATAGTCATTCAGATTTCGTCTTGTATTCCTTCAGCTAGCAAAAGCAACATTTTTCAAGCCTTACACTATGAAAATAATTTGGGAATAGAATGAAATACTGAATTTTCTGCAGTGCCATACAGAGCAGATCAAGGCTTTGAATTAGCTATTGCTCAAGTGAAACTGACCATCTAAAATCCTGCAACGCAATCTACAAGGTCTTGCCTTTGTTGTCCAACTGGCAACTGTAAACTGTTGCTCAGTCCACTGTAAATAGCACATTCTAAGATGGCTTTGGCTACCTCAGCAATCAGGGATCTAAAATGAATTTTAAAGGGAGATTCCTAGAATATACATTTAAATGATCTCAATTTCTGATTGGATATGAATGACCTACCTGTTGTTTATTTCTGATGGTGTCAGTCTCGGGATGTCCTTCTTCAATCAGAGTGTTAGCCTCAGAGTTAACCTCAGCTACACGGTCTTCATGCGCATGCAAATCCTAGTAAAGATAATACAAGATGAAGGATTATATATAAAAATAAAATAAATCATTGTGTACCAATACCTCCCTTGCTTTTTATTTTTGAAACTAGTAAAAACTGCTTCAAAAATATGAATTTAATCATCCCCTGCTTAACCTACGTCAATCAATAAACAGAAGAGGCTTCAGTTGAATAGGAATAATGACCCTCCAAAATAATCCTTTTGGTGATTAATATCTTGCGAAATCATTTGTTTTTCTTTAAGAATATCTTACATCTTAAAATGTGAACACACTATGACTTGCAAAATACACAAGAAATCACCTGTCTAATGCATTAAAAATAGGCTCACAATATTCAGCTCTTAATTGTAATTGTCATCTTTTTTAAAAATCTCATTGTCAGGGTTTGTGTTCTTACCTTCTGGAATTCATCAAACTTCTTTTGAAGGACCTCTACATGTTCCAGATCCACTCCAGTCTCTATAGATGCAGCGAAAGGTTCCTGGAGTAAGATGTGAAGAAAAGAAATTAAAATATTTCAACACTGCTATTTTCAAATAAATTATGTTTGAAAATAAAGTTCACAAGCTAAAATGTGAAAACATGATGATATCACCTAGACGGACATATCAGATAAACCATTTGAGCAGTAGTATTTTGTACAATGTCTAAACTCTAAAGATAGTAATCCCCCTTCATGTACATGTAACTCTCCGGATATCAAAAGTCATGCCAACTAGTACCTCAATGCCTCTTTTTTCATTTGTGTTTGTACTGTTCACAGCTACAGTACAAACAGGGAAATCATCTTCATGTGTCATTATTTTAGGTTAAATGTAGTTCTCTCTCGAATCGTGACAATGAATACAATATTTTGAGGCATCTACATGTATTACCCTTATCCCATTCAAAATCAATTGTTTTCCTCACACAGCTTGTAATCTTCAGTTCATCTTCATGTTAGGATATGCTTTATAGCCATTTGAAGATTACCAGAGGAAAAAGTTGCAATAATTCAGAACAATAATCTCCATATACAGTACAAAATTCAGCTTTTAATTTAAAACTCTCTAGGCCTGTCATCATCAGCTCCAGGTTGACAAATAACCTGCTATTTTAAGACTTAGGATATTATCCCGAAGTTCGAAATTGCATCTTCACCAGACCGATACGCTCATCACAAACTAGCTCGGACGGGCGCAAATTTTAGCCCGCTATTTCTTAAATAGCAGGATATTTTGGAAACAAGACCAAGAGCTCTAGGCAAACTAAAGGAAGACAAATTAACTGGTTAATTTGCGATCAGATAGTTAAAATAGCGGGTCATTTGGCAAACTTGAGCTGATGAGGACGGGCCTTATGTCAATCATAAATCTGCATAACTCAAATAATCATCTTCTAATGGTAACCTTAATATTACAACATGAAAAGAGATCTTGTAGCATACCTTATCCTGGATCCAGTACATGACCTCCTCGACCTCTCTGAGATAATGAACGAGCTTCTGAGCTTGGAGAAGCTTGATGCCCTTCTCTCTCAACTTGGAGAGCAGCAGCTCCCATAGTCTGTGAAGCTCAATCAGGCGTGCATCAATCACATCAGATGCAAAGTGTTTAGCATCGATCATCACCTTACCCTGGTCGTCTAGCTGCTCGATCACGTAGCTGTGAGCGATGACCTCCGCCTCGAAGGCTTGATGTTTCTGGAGCTTTGCCTGTATGGAGGTGATAGGATGAATGACTGATGATGAAGAAGCTGTTTTCATGGATACATTATCATATGACATGGTGTTATACAGAGATAAATTGATAAATGGCAGTGCAGTAGTCCCATGTATGTATTTTGGAGTTTGTGAAGTAACTGATGGCACAATGTTCTTGGAAAATATATGGCACGGAAGAATCTTTTCATTGAAACATACAATGTAGACTGTGGACAAACTGTATAAAGAGTAACAATACTGCAGCAGACATGTGTACAAAACAGGCCCAGTGCATGATAGTAATATACAAAGAAAGTTCATCCAAATTGATACATAGATTGTAATGATAGAAACATGTTAAATAAATGATGCAATTGATTATTCTGTTTCTTAAAAATTTAATCAAAAAGGTAGTAGAAACGATTTATGATCATCCCCTGAACTGTGATATAAAAATTATGAAAACAGTGGGGCCATTCAACATAAGTCTGGGCACACCACCCATGCAACCCCCCCCCCCCCCCCCCCTCTACTTTCCAAACAAAAATAAACCCATTTCGAAACTACTTGACCCAACATAGGACTGTTTTTATTTTTTTTAAACTCACATCATTTTCAAAACTTCTATCACCAATGTTCTTTTTAAGTTTATATGTTGGTTCATTTCAATCTTATATTTAAAAAATAATCAAAATGTAAATAGCTTATACCAATCATTCTTGTGCAAATTACATTAAAATAGTTGATCACGATAGTCCGGGATTTAAATGGAGTTACCAGGATTTAAATGGAGTTTGGTATATGTACCAAACATTATCTTGCACTTAAAATAAAGAGGCTGGAGCTATCCTGACGCACAAACAATGTCAAACATATTATATGATGATATTACATAAATGAGTCCAGAATGAAGCCGTGTGTGCCCAACTAGTTGAGTGAGTGAAAGAGGAAATACAGTGGATTTCTGAATAATTCATCAGTCAGCATTCAGCAAGCAAATTACATAAACATTATTATGTAAATGAGATGAAGGGAATAACAAGAAAATAAAAACATCAAATCAATTTGCAGTTTGGAGTAGAAATTAAGGATATATATAAGAGGTTGAGTGTGATTTTGTGCAATTATATAATCAACACATGATGTACGATGCTTTAAGTGTATTTTTGGGGTAATCATACATTTTGCTGCTTTACTGCTAGTAAAATATCATACACATGTACTGTATGCCAAAAAATAGATCACATCAAGGAAAAAAAATACATGTACACATTACAGTAAAATGCACTGCAATGTCAAAAGTATATTCATTGAAATATAAATGCATCTTCAGACTTCAATGAGAGCATACTGAATCTGAATCGGATGAATCAAATGGACTTCATACTTGAACTTCAAATAAAGAAAACTAATAGTTGTGCATGACAAACTGGCACACATATGAATTCATAAAGGCAGCTTGAATCACAATCCAAATGCATATTACCCATTACAAGGTAGCTTAAAAAACTTCGAAAGTTATGTTAAGAATTATGAAATTGCCTTTTCCCTTCACGGTTCCATTTACAGTTTCTACAGTAATATTTGGTAAAAAAGCTCAAGTGAAAATACTTTAAATTCTTATATCACTTGCTATGTGTAGGTCTTCAAAATGAGCCGTGGGTATACATGTACATGTACATGTATGTGGCAAGCTGGGTCTTGTACATGTACACGTAGATATGCAATGGGTAGCAAACCAAAAAGTCCATTAGAAATTATTTTTTCAGAGGGAAATAAAACATGAGAAAAATATTTTGAAGGTGCCTTCACAGATCTTATGAAATCATTGGGGGAGTTCTTTAAACCTGAACAATATTTTTATTTTTAGTAAAATCAGGAATTTCTTGACACTGCTGTACAATACATTCTCTATGGAAGCCAGAGAAAAAAACCTTGTCCGGTATCGTCTCTCTCCACTGTCTAACATCGTAATGGCGGTAGGGTGAATTAAACAGTACCATACAACAGAGTTTTCATATATGAACAATCAATGGAACAAATGGTACCAATCAACATCACATGATCTCTTTCAAACATTAAGTCATCTAATCTTACAAATAACATGAGAACTACAAACACACTACCGGTATTGTACCATGTAGCCCTAAAGCTTCCATAAATTGCAGACACTTCTACTATATTTATATCATTGTAATCCATAATGCTACATGTACATGTATCTTAAACAGACCACACATACTGTATGACACGCTCTAGTTGGTCTACCGTACATGCATACGACTTGGATCCATTGTCTTAAATCTTAAAACAAGAAGGCATCAAGAAACTAAACCCACTGAACATTATTTGATTATGCACATTTCAGTAGACTATTACTGTACATTCAATGTGTATTTTTCATAACTATGGAAACAATTTCCATGTCAAATTTGAGAGATTAGGAAAAAAGCACACATACGTAAATGTATGTAGTCTGAAACTTGAGCTTCAACAGTAGAGCCTCATGTTGCTTGTCACAATTACGATGTGTGCTGTTTTTGAATTATTTTTAAAATATCTGATGAACAGCCAACATTTACAGTTAAAAATGTAATTGCTCTTTATACCCCCCCCCCCCTTCTCTGATCATGAGTACTGAAAGTGACATCATGATCACAGTTGCAAGCTTTACATAATGGACCAAGATCATGCAACTTCTGTTTCCAAGGAAACTGAATAATAATGAAGATGCATTCCCATTCATCACATGACAAACTCACGCACTCACCGCTAGATTGAAATCTAAAATTCAAGACAGATTAAACTCTAATACATGGACATACATACAGGGGATCGATCATTCCTCACATCATTCAGGTACTGCAAAACCAGAAAATTTTGTGACATGAAACTTTCCCGTTTTGGAATTGACAGCAATTTTTCTGACTATTCTGCAGCATGAAACTCTTGAAAATCTCAACTAAACTTCGCGACCATTTCATGTGATGAAAAGGCTCTGGTTTTGCAGTACTCTATACTGTAACTACCTAGTAACTACTGTACTTCAACCTACAAGGAATAACATTTTTTTTTTTATTGCATGCCTACATCTACAAATGTATACAGTCCATTTGACATAGAAATCTCATCTCTCTTCTGTTCAATATGTCAATGGATTTTATAAGATTAAGATTCCTCACATTTAAGATGCCAAACAGGTATAATATGTACATTGTATATAAAGTGCTTGTATTTTCCTATCTTTTAGTCATTTCTTCCTAGAATATACAATTCTTATCTTTATTTCATGTTTAGCCATGATCTTCTGCTTTTCTTTCTTCTTGTTCTTCTCTCTTCTGCTCCTTTTTCCCTCTTCTGCAATATCTTCTTCAGTCTCAATGTCCAGATTGTGTTTTATATTTAACAGCAGCAAAATTTATATTGCATTATTTTCTTAGCTCCACACTACCAAGATCTATCATGAAAATTGGCAACACACAGTCCATATTTCAGAGTAATAAATGGATAAATTGCTTTCTGTGTCTGGTACACATGCCTTAGATTTCTTACCTGTGAAAACTTGCCATTTGAAATCAAAAATACAAAATCAAATGAAATAAGAAATATATAATCCTTTGAATGAGATTTAAAAAATTCATTTATGCATTTTGGCAAGCAAATTTCAATCTTTTTTTAAGGCAAGTTATTGTCTATAGTGTATTTGAATGGAAAAGAAAAAGGGAAATTCTCAGAAGACTTTTATAATCAAGCATCATGCTTTCCAGACATGCAATAATTACAACCTCACACAATGGGATATTATAGGACTGTTCTTAAATTTCATTCACTGGACAGTTTTACTCAAAGAACAAACAAACAAGTAAGACAAAATGTCAGCGTGAATCTATTAAGTATTCAAGACATCCATGGACATAATCTCTGGACTCGACATGGAAAAATGTCTGCTAAAAACCTTCTGTCAAGGACAAACATGTACGAATAAAACAGAAACATTCTGAAACAGATGAAACAAAACAATCGGACACATTGATTTCAATCTTGACAGCAAATGATTTGAATCAAAGGTTTGATCACATACAAGTAAATTGCAAAAAAATGTTGCAAGACCAAACGCAATGAAGAGGACAAATTGCGTCCTCCTGTCAAGCAAGCATGCCTGGAAAATTGGCAACAAATTGGGTTAGAGCGAGGGATAGGAATGGGAGATTTTTCTGAGGGCCATCTTTTCTCTTTCCTACCTTCAGATTTCGTATTTGGGTATAATCCTGTTAATATGAGGGCGTTACCATGGGAATGAATAAATATAAGGAAGATATAATAGAATTAGGAGGAAATTCAGAAAATGTCATGATCGACACACAGTGCATATTAATAAAACAAAAGTGGAAAAATAGTGTTAGAAACATCTAGAAGAAGACTACTCATGCAGTCAGAAACAAATCTATAATTTATAACATTGACATCGTCATAATATCTTATACATCAACTCTAAATATTATAATAATTGGCTATAATAGATGTACATGTACATGCATAAACGTAATACATGTAATTCTTTTTTTCTTCTCCTGAATTGGTTCAATTTAAAAATGTTCACCAAAATGATGATTTCAGTAAGAAAAATTGTAATGAATATTCAATGTACATATATTGTTCTCATCATTATGAACCGACAAATCCGTACATGTATAATATGACAGATTCATCGTTTCATAAAAACGCTGACGATATATTTAGATTTCCTAACAAATGAACAATTTTTCAAGGAAATGAATCTACACATCAGGGAGCTATGAATGCTTTATAAAAAAATCTCTAAGAGAGTGGAGGGAGGGGGGGGGGGGGGCAGTACAGTTCCATACCTGTAGATTGACCGGATCCTTGTAGCTCTCGTCTGAGGCTGTCTGGAGTTTCTCTAAGATCCATGTTTCGAGCTCATCAGCGTCTCGTTTGAAGAACTGAAACTGTCTTGCCTCCTCAAGCTTCTGCCTCCTCTCCTTGGCGAGTTCTTTGAATGTTTCATATCGGTTCAAGACTTGGTCTCGTCGTTCCTGGATGTCTTCAGCTGTTTCCAGGACTTTGATGTCCCCCCGCTCCGTCATGGTGATCTCTTAGTCTAGCCTTTCCTACAATCAAAAATAGACAATTGGGAAAGGATGAGTACATGTACTTTCACAATAGGGAAGAAATAAGAACAATAAAATAAAAGTAGATCATAAACCGTCTCAACAATTCTATAATCTAGGGGTATACATGTACCCTAACACAAACCCTTTCTATCCCTTCAAGGCAAAATATTGTACATGTTAGCCCTTGCTTTTACATGTATATCCGTCTTTTTAAAATGTTTGTTCTTCAAACAGGTAAACAAAGTTTTAAGCTTTAGCAAATGAAGCCTAAAAAAAAAAAATTAATGAATCTGAGAAAAAATCTTCTTCTTTTATATATATGGATTGCTAATTTCTTTCAGCATTGAATATCTAAACTGACTGCAGGAGTCAAAGACTTAACAAGTATGTATATTTTTGCACAGCCCCCCAGGTGCAATGAAGGGCTATTTGGATGAATCAGATTCAATTAGAAATAAATTATCCAACATAAAATCTTGGCAAACAACATGATTCATTGATTGATTTATGTACATAAATTTTAATTCATCCATGTCAAAATCCCTGCATGCACACACACCATAAACCTGTAAGCTTCTCATCTAATCCCACACACATTCTACACACAGCCAGCAGACTATGGGCGCAAACACACCTTGGCCTGGCCTTAGATAAATTTGCTCTCACGCAGAGAGAGAGAGATGAGCGGCCTTTTGAACATGATTTCCATCGCGCCTGATTAGATATTCCTAGGGTGTGACTCAGAGCAACGTTATTCTAAATGTCACATGACATATACCCGCCAGGCCGCCACACACACACACAGAGTACACAGTCATCACAATGTGATATCCTAACCAGACATTAGCTGTATCACACTCATGGGAATAGAATGGGGATTACTTATATCTGTTGATAGCATTTTATTTACTTAAATTTATTATTGCTCTTTTAGCTACAAGTACAGGGCTTGTTTTATTGTTTAATTTTCACAAAAGAAGAAGACTTTTACATTTTAATATTGTATATGATCCCTGATAAACCTCTGTGTGTTTTTAATCAATTACCCTCTCTGCAGGTTCATCTTTTGTTTTAATGCTTTTATATTTTATTGTTAATTATATTGTCTTTTTATAAATCTGTGGAAATAAATGAAATTAATATTGAAAGGCTCTACAATGAATGAACTTCCCTTTTCTTGATGAAAATGAGCTTTTACAGGTTTGAGCGCTATTTTTTTTCTTCTTCCAACGTTCCCATTACATATTCTTCCTCTGTGCTTGTCGTGTCTGCAAGCCCCACTATAATGCTGTCACCATCGTAGTAGGTCCTTGGTGTGACATTCTTTGGAGTTAATCATTGACTTGCATGTAAAATGCACTCTATGCCCTATGCATCACAAGGCAAACAATGCATATATGATAAACTAACACATAAACTTACCGTTACTTTACAAGTAGTTCAGTATTAAATACAAAAATTGAATAAATAAAGACTTTGGCCTTTTAAGATATCATTCAACTCTTTTTCGCGGGCTTTGTTTCTTAGCTTCCGCTCAGATTGTCTGATTTTGGATTTCTGTTCATTCTTGTGATTGACTCCAATGAGTGCAAGATGAAAAGCTTTATTCAATTCAATTCAATTTTATTTCGCAATATAAAAATCAAAATATACAAAGTAACAGTAAATTTTAACTATGTTTACAAAGGTTATATGCGGGGCTTTCCATGAAGGTTGCGAAAACCTGTGAAGTTGGATCGCCCATTAAAGAATGAAAAACAAATACAAAAAGAAATATAACATATTATAAGCACACAACAATAAATTAAGTAAAATAAGCAAAGTACAAACACTTCAACTATCTATAAGACAAGAGAAATTAAAATAGAGAGAAGAAAAACAATATATAAAGGGGGAAAAGAAAGGAAAGGAAAACAAGATAACAATGAAAGAGGGTTCAGATATACAATTTAGAAGAAGAAAAAAAATCAACAACTGAGCTGATTAGTAATTATTTAGTAGTAAGATTTTATATTGTTTTCTAAAGGAAGATATGAATTGTGATTTCGTTATTACTTGGGGAATCATATTCCACTGTTTAGGACCTAGATAACTCATTGATTTAGCTTCATAACTAGACTTAACAGACCATAAATGAAATTTGTTGGAAAGCCGTGTATTATAATTATGAATTTGACTATTATATTGAAAGAGGTCTGAAAAGGGGGCAGGTAACAACTTGTTTTTATATTTGTACATGAACGTTGCGATTTCTTGCTTATTTATATCATATATATTTAATAACGAAAGCTTCTTAAACAAAGGTGCTGATGGTGCTAGATAATGAGAATTGGTAGCTATTCTTAAACATTTCTTTTGAACTTTAAATAGTGAGTCTAATTCAGTTTGTGTTGCATTAGTGGCCCATACAATATTACAATATTTCAAGTAAGGGAAAATAATGGAATGATATAAAGTTATCAAATTTTCGGGTAACAAACTATATTTTAGCTTATTTATCAAGCCAGCATTTCTGCTGATCTTATGTAAAACATTTGTGATATGGTCCTTAAATCCCAAGCAATTATCTAATACGACACCCAAGAAGTTAACGGAATTACTTAATTGAATAAGTTTATTATTAATGTAAATGGGAATATTATCGTTATTAATTAAAGGACCGTTATTGCTAGCTATATCGGAAATTTTGGAAATTTTAGATCCTATATTATATTTAGTTTTTCGAAAATAAACACATTTAGTTTTGTCAACATTCAGGGACAATTTATTTGCTTTTAACCAGTCAGATATATTCTTAAGCTCATTATTTAGAACGCGGACAGTATTATTCAAATCTTTAGATGAAAAAAATATACTAGTGTCATCAGCAAATTGATAGAAGGTTAATAAGTTAGATGATTTACAAAGATCATTTATGTATAAAAGAAATAGCAGGGGACCCAGTATTGATCCCTGAGGTACCCCAATAAAGACATTTAACGAAGAAGACAAAACACCGTGGACAAAAGTATGTTGAACTCTGTTTAAAAGATAGTCCCTAAACCAGTCTAATGCAATCCCTCGTATTCCACATTGTTGTAGTTTAAATAAAAGTATCGAGTGATCCATAGAATCGAATGCCTTAGATAAGTCTAAGAAAATCCCTATTATATGTTCGTTAGCTTGAAATGAATCTAATATTTTTTGTTGCACTTTTAAAAGAACATGTTCACAGGAATAGCTGGGTCTAAATCCATATTGAGTGTCACTTAATATATCGTTGATATTTAAAAATTTATATAACCGATTATAGATTAGTCGTTCAAGTAATTTAGAAAAACATGGTAAGAGGGATATGGGTCTATAGTTTACAAATTTGCCGGGATCGTCTTTCTTAAAAACAGGGATTACTTTAGATTCTTTAAGTTTTAAGGGTACTTTACCAGATACAATGGAAAGATTAAATACATGAACTAACGGCAATACAATGGCGTGGATAACCCGCTTAACAACTTTACAGCTTACATTATCGATTCCACAACTTGCATTACTTCTAAGGTATTTACTGACATCAATTAATTCACTCGTATGTACAGGTGATAAAAAGATTGAATCAACAACACTTGTTCGACAATAAAAATGAGAAGAATGAATAGATTGTGGTACCGCGTCACTAACAGTTTTTCCAATGTTAATAAAATAATTATTGAATTGATTTGTTATTTCAATAGGCTCAGTAAATAATTTTCCGTTACATTGAAATGTTTTTGGAATTTGACTTTTCTTTTTGCCCAATAATTCATTAATTGTTTTCCAGGTCTTTTTAATACTATTTCGATTCAATTGTAACAAGTCCTTATAATATTCTTGACGAGCTCTACGAAGGGCATTAATAACTTTATTTCTAATTTTTTTAAATTTTCTCTCATCACTTGTACGTCTTGTTTGACAAAATGTTTTAAAACTTTTATTTTTTTTCTTAATCAATTTCAATATTTTATTGGTAACCCACGGTTTCCTATTTTTTCTTCTCTTTTTTGTTGATGTAAGAGGAAAATGTTTATCATACAATTTGAGGAATATATTCATAAATAAAGTATAAGCTTTATCAGCATCCATACACCTTAGTACGTCACCCCAATCAATGTTACTTAATTCAACAAAAAAACTATTAATCGTTAAATCATTGATTTTCCTGTAAGTATAGGACTGTTCTGTAACATTTTTATGAACACCTCTCTTATAGCAGAAAATTGGCATATGATCAGTAATTGAGGAATAAAAAATACCTGGAGTAACATCATTGTCATTCGTTAATATGTTATCAATAATAGAAAGGGATGAGTTGGTTACACGGGTTGGAAGGTTAATTTGAATGTAAAAGCCGTGTGACGCAATTATGTTCATTAGAGTAATAATACTATTTGAAGTAATTTTCAATAAATCAATATTATAGTCTCCAAGGAGATAGATTTGTTTATTTTCCTTGGAGAGTTCTTGCAATAGTTTATCAAAATATGTCATATATTTATATAAATTGGACTTTGGGGGTCTGTAGATTACACCAATTACTATACTTTTTAATCGAGGTATATTAATTTCAACAAATACAGTTTCACATGAAGAACACGTGGGATTCAAGTCATCCCGTAATCGATAACACAACTTTTCATCTAAAAATATTCCCACGCCTCCTCCTCTACCAACTTTTCTGTTATTATTAATAAAGTTATATCCATCCAACATGTAACAATTTTCGTTTTCTGAATTCAGCCACGTCTCTGTAATACCAATAGCCGTAAAATTTAAAGAAAGGTTGCTAAGGTAGGCAGAAATTTGATCAAAGTTTTTGGCCATACTCCTCGAGTTAAAGTGTATAGCACTAAATTGTACTAAATTTGGATCTATAGACTCTTTGAATTCATCTTCCAAATAATATTTGCAATCATTTACATATTGTTGATCAAAGTCAGAATCAAGAATTGGAATAGAATCGTTTAATCTTACATCTTCACTCA